GAAGACAAGAATGAAATTGAATATAAATATATTGCTCTTCCCTACATTTATGAGTTATCTGAAAAACTCTTGGCAATCCTTAAACCATATAATATTATTACAGCACACCGTAACAAAAATGATTTGTCAAGTCTATTCCAATCAAGAAAAGACCAAATATCAATTGAAAATCAAATAAAAGTAGCTCAGATTGTTACTTAGTTTACATAGACACAACAAAAAGATATTTAAAATCAAGAATTAAGGAACATAAAAATGACATTTACAAAAAACCGGACAAATGGACTGCTTTAACGAAACATAAATGGAATGAAGACCATCAAATTAATTACTATGACACAAAAATCATTGCTCAATTTGATATTTACAGAAAGAGAATGATTCTAGAAAGGACTCATATTGCAAATAGTTCAAATATAATTAATCAACGAACTGACGTACAAAACCTATTAACGTTTTACAAAATATTGATACAACTCTCGTAAATTAGAAATCAGATATTTTCTATATTACCAAACAAAAGGAGGTTATTCAGAATTTCCTTTTCAGGTTTCATCCCCGTTTTATGAACACTCCACAGGGCACTTGGCGTTTACCCTGTTTAGGTATTTCTTTCTCGCCTTCGAGGCTCTCTGACAATCAACACATGTTATTATTATGACACTCACTCCCACATAAAATTTTAATTTTTTGAACACACCCACAAACAAACACTCCACCCCAAAAAAATTCTCTCTCTTTTCTAAAGGACTTTCGTCAGTTTCTGAAAAACTTCTAAAATGAGACGTATATTAAAAAATGTTACATCCCTTTCTTTCATTATGCTTATTTACGTACATTTTCTCAGTATACAATTAAAATTTTCTAATGAAAATAAAACTGTGTTTGAAGTGCGACGCCCGATTTATATGTTATTGGATATTTTAATGAATTACCGGGTTAATTTTATAATTTTATGCATAACACATTACTGTTGATCATACAAATTTTGCTATATTAACTATAAAGACTATATAATAATACTTTCAATATATTGCATGTGTTACATCTGGTCATTTTTCAATCTTATTTTTTCTCTATATTTAATTTTTTTTTCTCTCCCACGTTTCTTATCTTCTTAAAGAAAAACAACATCTGTTTATTTAAAAAATCATGTTCTTTCTTGTACTCATGGACTCATAATGTATCTGTTTTTTCTCTTGTTGCCTTTTTAAGCAGATAATGAAACGTGAAACCTTAGTGGTCAACATTTACCAGAATGCACTTTTTCCAAAAATCTAAGAAACTGAAACATCCGTAAGCAATAAAATTATAAAATACAACCATAAAAATCTTTTCGAACTCTACAAGTGCATCCTCCAGATGTCGACCGCTGGGGTCCTTTTCCTTTCATTTTCGTTTTTCTTACGACAGGTCCGAGAGTCCCTGTCGCCAAGATTTCCTTCTGTTTGTAATAAAATTTGTCTAGGTTCCGAAAATATATATTATACTAAAATTCACACACATATAAATTTTTAATAACAATTAACTTTAATAATTAATTTCATTATTATTATTAATAAATAATTAAAATGTTATTTTTCAACAATTTATATTAAATTTTAATAAAAACTAATAATTGTCAAAATTTATAATTAATTATTGTTTAAAATTATTAATATAAGTAAAATTAATAATAAAAATTATAAAAAATATAAAATTAATAAATAAACAATTAAAATTTAATACAATTTAACCATAATTAAATTATATTGATATTTAACAATAAATAATTATAAATAATTTAAAATTTTAAATAATTATAACTATAATTTGTAGGTTAGGTTAAGTTATTATACAAATTAGTTAAAATTAACAATAATTATAGAAAATTATAAATAAATTAAATCTAAAAAATGAATTATTCTTAAAAAATCGTCGTAGAACCAAAATTTAAAAAGGGTTATGTAAATTAAGTCAAATAATACTTGTTAATAACAAATTATAATAAAAATTATTATTGTTTATAACAAAAAATTAATCTAATTGTAAAAAGATGCAAAATATAAAAGATCTCTCCTTCTTTGAGATTTTATCCCTACTTTTTGGAAATCTGTTTCTTTAGGGGACAATCCACAAAAAGTCTAAATTTTGAGTGGGGATAGACCCTTAAAAACGCATGTTTGCGTAAGTCAGCAGCTCATTTTCAAAAATTTTATATTCATACAAAAAGTTCATTCAAAAATTTTATATTCATACAAAAAGTCATTCAAAAATTTTACATTCATTCAACAGTCACAAAAAGATTTACATTTCTACAATTAAACATATAAGAGTTCTTTCAAAATTTTACATTCATTCAAAAGTTCTTTCAAAATTCTACATTCATTCAAAAGTCATTCAAAGATTTACATTCATACAAAAAGTCATTCAAAGATTTACATTTCTACATTCAAAAGTTATTTTCAAAATAAAAATTCGTACTCAAATCAAATTTTAAAAAGTTATTTTATTCTTAAAAGTTCAGTGCGTTTTCCACGTTTGTTATTGAATAATAAAATATCAAGGAAGGACGAACTATCTAATATTTTTGCATCTTCAGGGAAAATTATCTTTGATAAATAAAAAGTAAGTTTTAAAATTATATTTTTTATCTTTATCTTATTTCTTTTTGAAAAACTTCTTTCACTATTTAAAACTTTTCACAATTTCCCAATTCCAAAGAATACTGCCGTATTAAAGCTGGCGGTTATTCTTTAAAATTGTATTATTTTCACATATGTGTTTCCTTATTATTTCAACCTTTGTTTCCTAAATTTGTTAATATCACTTTATATAGTTGTGACTAACAAATTTTACTCCTTATTTTATGTATTCCTTTTATTTTTTCAATTTCTATAAGAAAATTCAATAGAGATTAAATAACCAAAATTAATTCCCAAGCTATTGGATGAGAATCCAGGCTTAAAATTGTAATTAAATTTTTATAACTATAATTTTAGTTTGAAATATAAAATTTAAAATTATTATTATTTGTTATAAAAATTTATAAAATATTATTTGTGTTACATTACGTAACACATGTATATATTTTATTAGTCTTACTTTGTATATAAAACAGTTTTTCATTATTAATTCATAAACTTTTATTGTATTCAAATTATTAAAAAAACACAAAACTCTTATCTGTTAACTATTGGTTTGTTTAGACAATAAAATTCACTGATGAAATCAAGTCGTATATATCTTAAAAATGTTTTTAAAAGTCGATGAAGTCACATTTTATTAAAATAAATTGAATTTAGTCGCATTTATGGCTTTTGATGGATTTTATTATTATTATAAATTATTATTATTTAAAAATTATTATATATATATAAAATGTAATATATTAAAAATATTTTTATTATTATTATATATATTAATATCATTTTTCAATGAATAATCTTAGTTTTTTTGAATATGAATTAAGTAAAAGTGGAACGCCATTTTTTGAAAAGTCTTAAAAATTGCCGACCTCAACTTTTAAAAAAACATTGATAACTTTAAAAAACGGATTGTTATTATATTCTTCTTCCCTGATGTCTAAAATATAGAAATATTTATTTGTGGTAATTAAAATTAACCTATACTTCTAAAAAATTTAGTCTAAATGGGAACATCAATTCGGTGTTTTTGCCAGTCTGGGCCAAGGAGCGCTAACGTCTCGCCAGTAAAGTGGTTAAAAAATTTTTAACAATTAACAATTTTTTAAGTTTTTATTATATCAAATTTGATTTAAATTTATTAATAATTAACGAAAATACGATGACTTATGTTTTAAAACTTAATTAAATTTAATCATTTAAATTCCTCTGTTTTTGGGCTCTAGAAACGAAAATAATCGTTTTATAAAAAAATTTCAAAGGAAAAAAAGATGCGCCTTTTAATTTCCTATAATGTTGTATTTTTCAAAATTCAAAGTTTTGATTTTGAATTTTTATCACTTTTTCGAACGTTTGACTGGCTCTACGGAGTCCAGCCGAGCGAAGATCGAGTTCTAATATTCAGCTCCTTATATAGTAAATAGCGTATCAGCAAGTGCGCATGTTGTCATTCGTAAAAGGTGAATTTAAATAAACGCGCCTTTTTGCAAATAAGAATATGCCCTATGTTGAGCAAAATCCAATGAACCGTAGCGAACGTCGAACGAGCAGCTGAGTGGCGCTCGTTCTTCACGTTACTGACATCCAGGTTGAAGGAAACGTTTTTGATTCATTTTTAATAAATTAATATTAAAGTCTTATTTTTCTTTTGTCATAAAAATGTTAAGAAAGCTTTTTTTATGAAATTAAAAACAATATTTGAGGAAGAATTGGTAAGTCAATTTGTCCGACTATGTTAAATAAAAAGAAAAATTAAACTCAACAAATGTAAAGAAACACTATTGGTTTGTTGTCGAAGTCAGTAGATTTCGATTAAATAATATTTTTTTTGTTTATTAAAATCGAAAAAAATTCGAGACTTAATTAAATTTTCTCCTTTCTATTTATAATGTTATTTGTTTTGCCTCATTAATTAAATAAAAATTGTCAATATTAATTATGTCCTAAAGAAATGTATTGGCTATTTGTGACTATGGGACTAGAGGCCATTAAAGCAAAAGAAAGAAAGATACTGTCTGGTCAAATCAAAAGTCGGAATTCATTTGAATTACAGGTTTGTTTGTTCTGCTTGGCCTTTAGAATCAAATGAAACAATTTATTCATAATTATGAATAAAAATTCTTAAAAAATGATTATTATAAAAAACAAATTCACTTTTCTTTAAAAAATGCAAATAGAAAACGCAAATTAATGTTCGCGCTATTAATTTATAACTAAACAAATTTTGAAACTATATTGTGGACATTAAAAAAATTTTTCAAGGATATTCAAAAAGGACAGAAAAAATTTCATGACATTTCCCAGTTTTCCAGGTGTTTTAAGACACCCTGTTAATGTAAGCAATGCATGCATAAAAGATTGTAAAGTCTTACTTACTTATGAATATTGGTTTTAATAGGCATATGGTGATGACTACTACTTGGAACGTTACAATTACTGTCGGCACTTTGTGGACTATTGGGACTATCTCCATTAATTAGAGTAGAACTCGTATTATGTTGACTATTAGTTTGTTCTGGATATGGAATGGAAATTTCCACATGTGGCGTAAGAAAATGCATTGGTGGAGTCACATTATCAGTTGATCTGTTACCAACACTATCACCACTATCAGATAAAGGCGCAGGAGGCACATTTTCGCCGGAACAATTGCTTAATAATGACGTTGAACTATTTGGTCCTGGATTATCCAAATCTATTCCATGTCTGTAAAAAAATTCATTCATTTTCTTTATCTTTCTATGCCAATACACGGAGAGTAAAATTAGGTTGTGTGGACTGGAGACTTAAGTTAAAACTACATGAGTGACTCAAGTAACGATGCCTACAGTTAAAGCAAAATTGGTCGCACGGTAGTTTAGTATTAATAGTATTAATGTATAGTATTAAAATAGTATTAATGTGCCATTAAAAAGTGATATTTCCATTCATTTAAACAGTTGAGGTTATTCGTGTAACAAGTAATATCAATATGTTAATATCAATAGCGAATTCAAGAAAAAAATTATGCCAATTTATTTATTTGTAAAATATTTAAATAAAAATTTTGCACTTCGAAACTTACAAATTTGTCATTTATCGTATTCGAAGTACCAATTTTTGTACTAAATCGTAATTTGGTTCGATTTTAATACCGAAATCAGCTCTAATTTAGAACTTTATTTTTACAGTGAATAATTAATGTACGCTTTAAATGTTGAAATACGACTACGCAATGTGCTAACTTTTTATTATATGTATAACGAGAAAAGTGTCTAAAACTGAAAATCCAACACACAACATAACTTCAAAAAGTGTTTCTTTTTATTTTTACATAATTTTTCAGTTAATTTGAAAAACCTTTGGATTCAGAATTGTTTAAAAATTATATTGTGGACCTTATTATTTCCTTTAAATCATCAAAAAAATGTTAATATTTGAAATTTTTTTAAAAATCAAACCTAACCTAGAAAAAATTAATAAATATAATATTCTATTAATATAAGGAAAAAATTACTTCACAATCGCGTGTGTGAATAGCGCCACGCTGCCAAGCAAAGCTGATTGGTCAAACCGTCTGTCGGTATTATTTGAGAACATTATAGCCCTAACTTGATAGCCAAGTCAAATCTACCGTGCTCTCCAGTTACAAATGACTTGTTTAATAAAATTGGACCAACGACTTGAAACAAAGCAGTTATCACCTAATTTTTCTCTCCGTGTAGTTTGTAATTATTATTATAACTAGGAAAGTGAGAGAATTGTTGCCATCTGGTGTTGAAAAATGTAATCTGTTTCGGATAACTGTTTCTATCACTTGCAATTGTAGTTTCGTGTATTTATAAATTTTTATAAATTTAATTACAATTATTTTTTTCTCTTTTGCTATTTTGATAATATTTTTTACAGGATTTAGTCTTTTCTAATTTGTATGTTTTAGATGAATAATATTTTTAGCTATTTTTTATTATTAAATTTTTTATTTAAATGTGTTTCATTAAGATTAATAGTCTGTTACAAATTATAAATAAAATTATTATTACTATAATAATTATAAATATTAAAAATATATTTTGAAATGGTAAGAAATAAAAAATTGAACACACCTGTTAAAAAAATGTAGCCTTAGGCATTTCATAGTAGAAGCTCTATAGTGACATAAAGGGCAGGATTTAACCATATCATGTTGACCCACATGCTCATTTTGAAAATGAGCTCTCATTGCAATTTGTCTCTGAAAACCTCGATTGCAAATAGGACAATGATAAGGCAAAGTTTTTGAATGTGTTGTAAAATGTTCAGCTAAATGATCTTTACGAAAAAATCTTTTTTGACATATTCGGCATTCATAAGGTTTTACTCCCGTATGTCTCATCTGAAACACATATCGAAATTTAATTACACTCACTTTCTCTATAAATTGTAAATATTTTTTTTTTATAACACATATTAAATACCTTGTGTCGCCTCATGTTAGCTCCATTAGAAAATTTCATATTGCAAACATCGCATTCAAACATTTTTCTATGAGAACGATGACCCGAATGACCTTCTCCATCAATATCATTTTCTACACCCTCGTTAACTTCGGTACTTTCTCCCCCATCGCCAGTAACAAGGCATTGGTCTTGATGTGCACAAAACGCTGCCTTATTTAGTGTTTCATAATTATCACAGCGTTCACATCTACAAAAATAATTTATAACTATAATTTTATGTATTTTTTTTGGGAGTATTAATCTACCTCGAAAAAATGTGCATTTACCTGAATACCAGCACCGAACCATCGCTACTGTCGTAATTTGTATTTAAGACGGTTTCACCATCAGGATCAAGTGCTTCTTCATTCTCAAAATTTTTGGAATTATTTCCAGTTTCAACAAGTAAAGAGGAATGTGAATCTACTTCGTGCTCTTCGGCTACAGTGTCAACTCCATCTGACATTGTAGAAAACGAAAGAGCTATCTGATAATCTTCATTTATCCAACAGCTAGAATTATAAAAATTTTAAACAGATAAAATATAAAATATGTGAATAATTATATTGGTATGGGGACATTTTTTAAACAAATCAAACATAATATTCGTTTTAAACTTTTTGGCTAAGACGTTTTTGAATAATTGATAACGATATTAATGTTAGATTTCTGATCAGCAACCTTGAAAACCCCCCGAGAAAAGAATTTTAAGAGAATTTGATGCATTTAAAATTTTTTTAAATTTTAAACATTTGATGTTTGATGTTAAATATTCCCGAATAGGGTCAGTTGGGGTAAATGGAGACAAAATATATACATATATTTATGAAATATGCAATTGTAAAAAATAATAAACACCAAAAGCATTCTATGAAAATTTATAAAATACAAGTTTTATGAAGTACATTGAAATAAAATATAATAAATTTTATTAAGTATAGTAGAAATTTTAGTAAACATTTTTCAATTTAGGGAAAACGTGTAAAAATGGGAAATATTGATACAAAAAATAATATACTTCTGAAAATATTTTTCAGTCTTTAAGAAATGTATTTCAAATTTTAGTAAATATTTATGAACTTCAACATAATTTATAGTAATCATACAAAATCTTTACTGAGATTTAATATATTTTATATCATTTTTTTCCAGTTTGACACATTTTCCCTAAATTGAAAAATATTTACAAAATTTTGTTATATATTTTCTTTCAGTGTAGAATTAAAAAATTCTGTATTGTGAGAAATAAAAATTGCTAATTTTTGTTGATGGTATATGAGCAATTCAACGTGAGATTGAGGGGTCTATCCTCCAATTATTCCTTCAATACTACGTTTTTGAGTAGAGGTTATGGGTCTAATTGAGTAAATAAAATTTTGAAAAAAATATTTATTATTTTTCGAGATATTTGCATTAAAAAATTAGTGCAATTTGTTTTTCAATTACTCATAACTTTTTCACTTTTAGTCCTAGAAAAAAGTTTCCTAAACGTTTTTTGCTCAGAAAATATTGAAGTTTAAGAAAAAAAATTAATTTTGAAAAATTAAAATTTTTTTATTTATTTATTTAACAAATAAAATTTGATTTTAATTTTTAAACTTATTATCGAGCTCCGTTTACTTAGCGGGGGTTTCCTACCTTCTCGGAACGGTATTTTTCAGTCTTTCTCTAAATAACATTTTATAATTAATTTTCGATTTTTAGTAATACTTAATATTCTTTTTTTGACACAGAATTAGATTAGACGTAGAATAGAAGGAATCTTAGGATAGACCCTTCAATCTCACGTGGAATTGCTCATATATTTTACATAATTAACACGAAATTTTAGAAGGTTAAAAGTTGAACAATTTTCGAATAATTGTGCGAATAACAAAACCCATAAAATCTCCCGGATTAATTTTTCAGTCCCGGCATTCTCCCGGTTCTCCCGGTTGGCTGGCCACCCTGGCCCTTAAAAAAGTAAGTTTAAAAAACCCAGTAGTTTTTCAACTTTGAAAATGAAATAAATACAATTTTTCTCACTTTAGCATATAAAAGAAAATATACCTCATTTGACACTTTAAAAATACTAGTTTATGATAAACTAAAAAAAAAGTTGTAATGTTACAATAAAAATTTTTTATAGTGTATCCAAATATTTGTCATAAATTCATTAAATTTTGGGTAGAAAATGAAAAATGAAAATTTTTAAAAATTATTCTCATAAAAATCAAAGCTTTATACTACTTTTTTTCTGAAAAATAGGGAAAATTTTTCAAATAGGTGCTTTTAGGGAGAAATAGGTAGAAAGGGGACTTTTAGGGAAAATATGGGACGACTACGAAGCCTGATAGAGTTAAAAAAATTTATTTAAGGGTCAAACCACTGAAAATCATCTGAGAGTTATCATCAACTTCTAGTCCTAGATTTAACCCTTTTAATTGACAAATTTTCAAATTTATTAATTTCGAAACGAAGCAAAATACCCCTCACCAAATTTTCATATCAGGTAAATTATATTTCAATATTAAAATATGTGCGAAGCCCCAAATTTTTTTTTGAAGCATCCAGAAAAAAGTTATAAGCTTCGCAAAATTGTGAAATTTCGTTTACTCAATAAATTTTCAAATTCAAATTAATATCTTAAAATAAAATAATTATATATTAACTAGCAAAATTAAACGCGCGCATGCGCGCTAAATTGAGTACTTACTTGTTTGTTATAAAGAAATTAAAGATTAATATTATCAATAATAATTTAATTTATTAGAATATTATTACATATTAAATGATAATAATGAAAATTATATGTTTACAAGCCTCGGATTATACGACTTTTTCCGACTTTTTTCAAAAATACGACTTTTATCGACTTATTTTAATAAAATGCGACATTTTTTTTTTACATTTGAAAAATGTAGAACTTCTTCAGATCTTCTTCAATTCAATTATTTAACAAATTTTGAACTAAAATGATTTTTCATTAAATTAATTATTTTTAATAATTTTAATGAAATACATCACAAATTCAATTATATGAAAATTATTTTTCAATTAAAATTTTTATGAAATTTAACAATTGTTTATAATTTAAAAAAAAATATCACAATAAAATTGAATTATTTTTTAAAAATTTCAATTCAAAATAAACTAAAATTCAATTATTACAAGAAATTTTAATTCAAAATCAATTAAAAATCCAATAATTATCCAAAATTTTCAATTTAAAATTTAATTATTTACCAAGTTTTCAATTTAAAATGAAATAAAATTCAATTATTTTCTAAAATTTCTATTCAAAATTAATTAACCAAAATTTTCAATCAAAAATAAACTTAAATTCAATTATTATCCAAAATTTCAATTAAAATTCAATTATTTCCCAAAATTTTCAATTCAAAATAAACTGAAATTCAATTATTTTCCAAATTTAAAATCAAATAAAATTTAATTATTCTCAAAAATTTGAATTCAAAATTAATTGAATTTTCAATCATTTGAATTTAAAAGCATTTAAAATTTAATTATTTCTAAAATTTTCCATTGAAATTTTTTTTTTTTGAAATTGAATAATTTCAATTATAACTCTTAGGAAATTCAATTATTTTTAACTATTTTAATAATATTCTTTGAAATTTCAACTATCCGAAACCATTTTTTAATTAAAAATGATTTTCAAATTATTGTATTTTGTCCGCATTTTCTATTAAATTTTTAGTGAAATCATCTAAAATTTTAATTACAAAACACTTAAAGTTTCAATTAATTTTAAAAATCTCAATTTTAAATCTTTGAAAATTCAATTAAATTTAAAAAATATTTTCCAAAAATTGTTTGATAAATTATTTTTAGTTCTGTAAAATTTAATAATTGTTTGAAAATTAACAATATCTTTTGAAATTTAATTATTTCTAAAAATTTCAACTTTAACCCCTCAAAAAGGATTATTATTAAAAAAAAAAATTTTTTTTATTTAAAAATCTGTAAAATATTTTTGTTAAAATGAAAAACAAATCCACTTTTTTTGGAATATAAATCGACTAAAACGACTTTTTGTGTCTTTAAGTTGATTCGAGACCTGTGTTTTTATAATTAATATTTAATAGGTATTCGTTGGCCCCTGGTACCTTAAAAATAAATTTTTTTCAAATTACTATCTTGTACGAAATTTCCTGTCGCATCTTTTTTCTCATCATAAATTTTTTGTATTTGTATACTATTTTTGAATCAATATACAACTTTAAAAAAAATTTCGTTGGTAAACGTTGTGTACTTCAGCTTCGTGAATTGAATTTTCGAATTTGGAATTTTAAAGAAACTTATTCCGAAATTTGGAAACACAATTATACAACTTTGGCAAAAATGAGAAAAAGAATTGTCAAAATTTGACACGTCATAAGATTACTATTCAAAAAAACACGTGAAATCAGAAAAGGCCAACTTCAAGTTAGGACAGAAGGACAGACCAAGCATTTTATTATTATATAATAATAATTCCATCATTTTTTGATGTAGAATAAATTGATTTATGTTTTCGTAAAATAGTAATATGTAATATTTGGTAGTTTTTGAATAACGTTTCAAAAAAAAGTGACGAAGCTGAAGTACGCAACGTTTATGATAAACGATTTTAAAGAATTAATTTTTTAAAATGAAAAATTCTATAATTTTTTGCCTAAAAAATATTTCTTGTAGTTTTCATTAATTAACAAAGTATAAAAAAATATTTTTTAGGCAAAACATTATAGAATTTTTCATTTTAAAAAATTATTTCTTTAAAAATCGTTTATCATAAACGTTGCGTACTTCAGCTTCGTAAAAAAGTGCAACATTTAAGGTTACGAAATCACGTCGAGAACCTTCTATTTTAAATTAATAATAATTTCAAAGGAAATAAAATTTACACAATAATATTATGATCAATAAACTCAAAAAATTTATCTAGTTTCACATAATATTAAAACTAGAATTTTTAAAATTAAACCAGCAATCACTCTCAGATGATTTTCAGTAGTTTGACCCTTAATTGTGTAAAATTTCATGTTTGATTTTAGTGCACAAAGTTAAAAATTAAATTTACGAAATGACTATAATTTTTTTCTTGTGTAAAAATAAATTATGTAGAGTTTTTTTGCTTTAGTGTTTAACCGTGCAAAATTAAATAATTTTAAAATTGAAAATTTTTTTTCCGTTTTAACGTAATACGTAGGTTTTTTTTTTTTTTCTTTTTGTAAAATTTATTTGCATAAAATTAATATGACTTATTTAAATGTACTGTGTAGAATTGCCTTTTGTAGAATTAACTAAGTTTTCTTTTTAGGATTTATTTACGTAGAATTGTTAACGTCCACAAAAGTGTAATGAAATTAATGGAAAAATAATATTAATGAAGAACGTGAAAGATCACTGACCGATTAGTAACCTAACCTAAAATACATTAACTGACAGACGAGTGTTTCACATGATATTTTTAACATACTATTAAATATTAAATATCAATAAATGTAAACTATAAATAATTGTCTATTATTTTTCAAATATAGTGACAAATATTATGTCTTCAAGAACATGTGTAAAATGGTGTTCTACTTTTTCTTAGCAAGTTAATGAACACTTTTTTATGTCACTTATTTGTAACCATCTTTTTCAATAATAAAATTATTTCATTTTTAAATTTCTAACCATTTAAAATCATTTTTATAAGCTTTAAAAATTTCATGTACAACATGAATTAAAAAATGTTTAAATATAATTAATTTAACATTTAATCTAAACTTTATATTCTAAAATGTGGAGAACAACACTTATTGACCTGTTAAAAACTGATTATTGAAAAAAATTCGACATTTATCTAATTAACAACAAATGTATGATTTTGCAAAGTTGAAAAGTAAAATAGATTTCTTTTTTTTTGCACAAGTACTGCAAATATGTTTTTGTTTGTCAGTTACCAACTGCAAAGAAAGCAATGACAAATAAAAAATATAATTGTAAAAACATTACATGTTAAGGAAATTATAAGCTGCGTGTAGAAATGTTGTTCACGTATCAAGTATCCTTCTCCAAGATTATTACAATGCTAAAAAGTGCCTGATAATCTTATATGTGTTCACACTTTTTCATGAAATTTTATCGTGTCTCTTGCAATCACTACAACGTGCAAAAACATTTACTTTCTTTTTAAACTTAATTTAAGTGTATTATTGGAAATATTGATTCTTTAACAATTTTATTTTCTATAAATTATTTAATTCTCATTAACGTCAACAAATCTTATATTTTTATACAATCACTGTAAAAAAATTTAGTGTTAATTTACCAAAAAAAAAAAATTAACCAGCAGTAATTTTAGGATTTTTTTTTGTTACAAAATCTAGTACTTTTCAGGTTAACCAACAGTAAAATATTCAGAGATGGTTACGTAATTTATGTAATTTTTTACAGTAATTTAGGGTACGAACACAGCTGTGAAATCTAAGTAGGGTCGTCATGGTAACGTATAAGAGTGAGAGAAATATATTCTTTATTTCTCTCACTCTTATACGATACCATGACGATCCGCCATATGGTGTTTTCAGCAGATGCTCCGTAGTGCTCTGAAGCATTTTTTGATTGGGCCAACGCAGAATGAAATCTCTAATCGTAAATCTTAAGCTTTTACAGCGGTTCTACATGTATACGAAATCGCAAAGTCGTTGCGAGCCGCGTAAAGGCCTTTCTCCAATAGGATCCTAAACTCTTGCGTTGCGTATGCATTGCGTCGGTTGCTATTGGCAACCAATGCTAAAATCAACGCGTCAGTCACGCAACGCAAAAGTTTAGGTTCCTATTGGTGAAAGGCCTTAAGGACTTTCTCCAATAGGATCCTAAACTCTTGCGTTGCGTATGCATTGCTTCGGTTGCTATTGGCAACCAATGCTAAAATCAACGCGTCAGTCACGCAACGCAAAAGTTTAGGTTCCTATTGGAGAAAGGCCTTTAAAGGCGTTTCTCCAATATGATCCTAAACTCTTGCGTTGCGTGACTGACGCGTTGATTTTAGCATAGGTTGCCAATAGCAACAGACGCAACGCAAGAGTTTAGGATCTGATTGGAGAAACGCCTTAATGGTACGGTCCGGTCACACTATCTCATGTATGCAGAAACATTTGGCCGGTCACACTTGAACGAAATCTAGTGAATGTTTAGTTACTTTCTAGTAATTTTCCAAAAAATTCGATTGTAACTATAGAAAGTTACTAAACATTCACTAGATTTCGTTGAATTGTGACCGGCCAAATGTTTCTGCATACATGAGATAGTGTGACCGGACCGTACCATTAAGGCGTTTCTCCAATCAGATCCTAAACTCTTGCGTTGCGTCTGTTGCTATTGGCAACCTATGCTATTGTGATTTTTAGCGCACTTTTGAAAGTGTATACTCGGGAAGTATGCAGTGTCCTTTTTTCGCACGAAAAAACAAGGACACTGCATACTTCCCGAGTATACACTATCAAAAGTGCGCTAAAAATCACAATTCGGAAACGGCCATACCCTTACCACTGAATTTAAGGTACTTCTTCAACTTGCAATCTGTCTATGCCAATGCATATTGAAATCATAAAACATAAATCTCTCGATAAATCTTTAACATGAGGCAAAAAAGGATAGAAGATATTTCTCCCTTTTTCTCTCTTATTATTTCTATGATTTATGTTTTAAGGCGTTTATTCACTTTAAATTTTTTGATCGAGCGCTGGTTGGTTTCCATTGTCCCCACTCGCCTTTTGTCATAATTCTCGTCAACTACCGCACCCTGCTCTAGTGAAAATCCAGTGGCTTTATTGTTAAAATTAAAAGAACCTATAAAGTTACTAAATTTTCACTAGAGCAGGGTGCGGTAGTTAACGACAATTATGAAAAATGTCGACTGGGGATTTTGTCCAGTGGGGACAATGATGAAGCATTAAAAGTGCTTTTATACCTCCAGTATTTTGGTTCAGCAATCGGCTGGATTCAATTTTCACGGCTGTATCACTGAATTTGATTGGCTCTGACTAATATTCGATTTCCACCGTGAAAATTGAATATTTTTAGAGCCAATCAAATTCAGTGATTCTCCGAGAAAATTCAATCCAGCCGATTGCTTGATCAAAATACTGGAGGTGTAAAAGCACCTTTACATCGTTGGTAAAAAAATTTTTTACTTTGATTTTTCGAAATGCAAAAATCTGATTGATTGTTTTATCAATAATATTGTGAACAACCAATCAGGTTTGTGTATTTCGGAAAATAAAAATTTTTTTTACCAAAGGTGTAAATGCTTCATGAGACCAACTAGCTTGGACGAGGCGAATTTTCACGGTCTTAAAAATGTATTTTCATTGCGGAATTTTTGAATTAATAGTTATAAAAACCGGGTTTTGCAAATTCACCACTAGAACCAGTTTACGTCCATCTTGAAATTTTTCCCCACTCAACTTGATCAAACTAAAGGTGCTTTTATACCTCCAGTATTTTGGTCAAGCAATCAGCTGGATTGAATTTTCACAGAGAATCAATGAATTTGATTGGCTCTAAAAATATTCAATTTTCACAGTGGAAATGGAATATTAGTCAGAGCCAATCAAATTCAGTGATACAACCGTGAAAATTCAATCCAGCCGATTGCTTTACCAAAATACTGGAGGTATAAAAGCACCTTAAGGCCGTTTCCGAATTGAGATTTTTGTCGCACTTTTGATAAAGTGTATACTTGGGAAGTATGCAATGTCCTTGTTTTTCTATGCGAAAAAAAGGACACTGTATACTTCCCAAGTATACACTTTATCAAAAGTGCGACAAAAATCCCACTTCGAAAACGGCAAAATGAACGTTTCACATTTTGGATACTCTACTAGAAACACATGTTTTGTTCAATTTTCGGTTTTGTTGGCTAAATTGTCAGTCTGCTGCATGATTGTTATTAAATCCAGTATTGTATATTGGTTTCAAATATGTTTTCTTCTTTAAGTAAGAGATGATTTTACCCATAGAATTCCTTATATTCATAGTGATATAAATTAATAAAAATACTCTTATAATCTTTTTTTTTTTTTGAAAATGAGTATTTGTAACTTGTTTTAAAAATTTATTATATAATATGCATTGTCGTATATTTTCATTGTTGAAACATTTCTTTTAGGAAAACAATCAGTATGCTCATTAAACAAAACTATTCAGACATGTCGTTATTCTCAATCACCAAAAGTAATAAAAAATGTAACAACCGCTAGTATGAAAAGAGGTACTGGAGGCCGCAGTTCTTTCAATGGAAATGTTTGCACTGTTTTTGGTGCCACTGGATTTATTGGCCGGTATGTTGTCAATCGTTTAGGCAAAATTGGAACCCAGGTACATAATATTTCATATGTTATTATTAAAAAAAAAAAATTACATATTTTTAATTTTTTAAATTTAATATTTTACACTTAAAATTTTTTTTTGATTAATACCAGTAAATGACAATTATGTTGATCATGTTTAACATGATAATATTTAGGTAAAGTTGTTGAAAACTTAATGGAAAAGAATTAAAAATATAAAATAAAAAAATAGCTTAAATATTATATTTTCTTATTAAGAAGGTTCCACAGGGTTTCTACAGACCTGGAAAACTTGGAATTGTCAGGGAATTTTTATGAAATATCGTTCTGAAAATTTAATTTTCTGTATTTGCATCGAGAAACTCTCAAGTTTCCAAGTTTTGTATTTAGGGTTAGTCCACTGACTTTCGTCTAATAGTGGTTGCGACCAAATTTTAAAAAAATCTAGTTTTAATATATGTGAAACTCGATGACTCGCTGAGTTCATTAACCATAATATTATGGTAAAAATTTTATTCCCTTTAAAAATATTAAATATCAAAAGTAGGAGGATCACAATGTGATTTTGTAACCTTAAATTTTTCAATTTTTTTAAAAACGCTATTATTAAAAAAATATTAAAAATTAGATGTTGGAACTCACCAAAAACATAAATCACTTTATTCTGCATAGAGGAACAAAAGAATTATTGCAAAAATTTATTATTTTTCCATGATATACGATTTTAAAAAACATTTTATTTAAATATTCTCAAGATTTTTATTTACTTATAACTTTTTTGTCGGTGCTCCGAAAAAATTGAGGTTTTGCACAAAGATTTTTTATAATATTCTTTACCTTCTACTAAAATCTTACGAAGGTGTTTTGCTTCGTTTTGGAGATAATTATTTTCAAAATTATTTATTTAAAAAGGTTAATTAAAAGACTTGAAGTTAACTAGCCAAATTCAAACTGCTCCATTTTTTATAAAAATATATTAAAATGTAGCGATTTGAAATTGGTCAGTTAACTTCAAGTCTTTTAATTAACCTTTTTAAATAAAAAATTTTGAAAATTAATATCTCCAAAACGAAGCAAAACACCTTCGTAAGATTTTAATAGAAGGTAAAGAATATTATAAAAAATCTATGTGCAAAACCTCAATTTTTTCGGAGCACCGACAAAAAAGTTATAAGTAAATAAAAATCTTGAGAATATTTAAATAAAATGTTTTTTAAAATCGTATATCATCGAAAAATAATAAATTTTTGCAATAATTCTTTCGTTCCTCTGTGCAGAATAAAGTGATTTATGTTTTTGGTGAGTTCCAACATCTAATTTTTAATATTTTTTTAATAATAGCGTTTTTAAAAAAATTGAAAAATTTAAGGTTACAAAATCACATTGTGATCCTCCTACTTTTGATATTTAATATTTTTAAAGGGAATAAAATTTTTACCATAATATTATGGTTAATGAACTCAGGGAATCATCGAGTTTCACATATATTAAAATTAGATTTTTTAAAAATTTGGTCGCAACCACTATTAGACGAAAGTCAGTGGACTGAGCCATTACAACTTTTCTGTTTTAAATTTAATTGAAATTTAAATGTTGAAATCAATATGAAATTTTTGAATCTTAGTCTCTATTGGTCAAAAATGTTCTCTTACATAATACGGTTTATTAGTTAATTATTTCAGTAATTTCATTACGTAGTTCAAATTTCCAGTAGAACGAATCTGATAATTAAATTCATTTTTATTCGGCAAAAAATTTTTCTAAAGTGGAATTAATAAATTGATACTAATTCAATGGATTGTACGACTTTTTTCAATGAATGCGACTTTTTTCGGATAAAATGAGATTTATTTCAGGTTTTTATAGGGTAAGTGCACCAATTACGGCGCGTTCATAAAAAATAACTATTATTACTATTATATTTAATATTACTGGTGCAAAATGATTAAAAAATATTATTTTAATCTTTTTTCATGGTGTCTAACAGTCAGGGAAAAGTCAGGAAATTTCTTTGATTTTCTGGAATTTTTTTATAAATAAATTAAAACTATTAGTTTCAAAAATTTTTTTTACTTATTTCCCAAAGCAAATGCAAATTAAAAAGTTGGCCTTCACACTCAATTATTAGGCATGTGATATATCTTATATTCATTAAGTAAATAATTATTTACTACTATTTATTGAATCTAATAAATGATTTTTTAAACTTGGATAACAATTAATTTTTTTCAGTGAAATATTTGGTTTTTTAATATAAATAAAAATTATTTGATACAATTTTATTTTATCGATTCAATTTCAAATAAAGTAAATTATTATTTATTAATACGAATAATTTATTATTTAATGCTAATATACACATTTAACTTATAAAAATTTTTACGGCGTCGAATCTTAAATTATCGAATTTCTATTTAGCAAAATTGTATAATGTGGATTTTATATTATGCAAAATTTTCAATTTACATTGAACTAAAATTCGATTTGAAAGAATTTCTATTTAGCAGAACTCTTATAAAGCATTTTTTCTAATACTTTTTAAAAATTTTAAATTAATATAATTTCAATTTGACGAAATTTATGTCTAGAAAAATTGCCAAAAAGAACTAAGTAGAGTTTTTCTTAAATGAAAAATTAATTATTAATAATTAATTAATTAAGAACAACAATGTCCCAGAAATTGACCTTAAATATCAATTTTTATAAAACTGATTTTATTGAACATCTGAAAAAAATTTTTATAAATTTACTTAAAAATTTTTTTTAATTATTTGACTCAATTTATGAAGAATTGACCTTAGATAAATTTTTTAAAAGAGACTTTTTTGTGCCTTTAAGTCGATCCGAAACCTGATTCAATCGTATTTTCATTTTGTATAGAGTTTTTATGTAAGGGAAGTCTATCTATTAGTTGAAAATTGGTGGAAATAAAAATTTGTCTAAATAAAAGTTCTGCTAAATAAGAATTAAGATAAAAAAAAAAAAATTCGATTGAATAAAAATTCAGATAAGTAAAATTAAATCAATACAAAAATTCAATTAAATAAAAATTCCATTAATTATAAATTCTTTGAAATAAATATCTGTGAAAATCCCATTATATATAAATTTTGTTCATCAAAAATTCTGTTAATTGAAAATTTGCTAAAGTATGTATATGAAAAAGAAGATAAATAGAAATTTCATTAAATGAAAAATCAATTAAACAAAACTTGTTTGGTGTGAAAATTGCATTCATTATCAATTTTACTTTATAAAATCTAGTTGAGTAGAAATTCGATATTGTTGACATCGAAACATGGAAAAAAATCATGCGTAATTTACTAAAAATTCGTCTAAATGGATTTATATCAGGGTCTGTAATTTTTTTAAAGATGGCCTGGAAAAGTCATGGAATTTTAAAATCAGTCTTTCGTGGCAACCCTGTTCCATACATGTATGATAAACTTATTTGGAATAAGTGGAAAAAAGAAATGGAACACTGATGTGAAAACAGAATTTATTAATTCAATTTTAAAATAAATATTAACAAATTAAATCTTAAGTAATTTAAATTAATAATTAAGATAACATCGATCAGTTCAAGTCAGGTTAAATTAAAAAGTAAAACGTAAAGTAGAACGTAAAGTTCTTTACGTTTCAACGGCACAGACGTCATCAGAAACTAAAATTTTATTACAAAAAAATAACTTTTTAAAAACATTTATTAAACATATTATTTTTTAAAATTGAAATTTAATTTTCATTTTCTAGATAATACTTCCTTATCGAGGGGATTTTTATGACTGCATGCGTTTAAAACCAGCGGGCGATCTAGGACAAATTATTTTTCATCCATTTGATATTCGAGATGAAGATTCTATTCGTAGATGCGTGAAATACTCAAATATTGTTGTAAATTTAATAGGAAGAGAATATGAAACTAAAAATTTTACATTCGAGGATGTTCATGTAAAGGGAGCAAGAACGCTTGCTAGGATTTGTAAAGAAAGTGGAGTTGAAAGATTTATTCATCTTTCTTGTCTAAATGCAAATCCAAATCCAAAGGTATATTTCAAAAAAATTTTATTTAATCCCTTTAATCTTTACTCCGGCTCAAAAAAAAACTTTTTGAAAGAAACATTACAAATATATGAAATTTTTTATTTTAATAGATGAAAAATTAAAAATCTTTTTAAGGAATAACAGTTATTGAGCCAAACTTTAATACAACTTTCTTGTGCCCTGGCCTTCCCTATAATTAATTATAAAAAAAGTCTACGGATATTTTTTTCTGCTAATATGAAAGTAATTTTAATTCAATAGAAACAATGTTTTATATTGAAAAATCTTTATTTTAAGCAATTGGTTTTAAAATCGCCATCTCGATACTTTATCTCAAAATGGGATGGAGAATTAGCAGTTAGGCAAGAATTTCCTGAAGCGACAATCATTCGACCATCAGATATATATGGTCAAGAAGATCGTTTCTTAATGTTATATCAAAGTAGATGGAGACATCATTTGTAGTAAGTGAATAAATGACAATTAAAATTATTTTAATTTCGATATTTTTTTCTCTATATTCACAAAGAAAAAATTTTATATTTTATTTAATATGTATGTTAAAACTTTTTTCACCCCAAAAACTTTGAAAATTTATCAAAGTTTTCATTAAGTGAACTACAATTTTTATCTGTCAATATACAATTTTTTGTATTTTTATTATCGTGAGTTGCAACTTTTGATTACAGTAATGGTGTTCCATTGTACAAGAAAGGAGAAGTAACTGAGAAACAACCGGTATGGATTGGCGATGTTGCATCTGGAATTATGGCTGCTATTAAAGATCCAGAATCCAGTGGAAGAACTTATCAGTTTGTTGGGTGAGTTAAAAAAATAGATATTAATTTTTTATTTTTTTAAAAATGAATTTAGTTTATCAGACAAGAAAGTTTTACAAAATGTTCCAATGTTGTTCAAAATTTTTAAGTGTCATTCAAAATAGCTTCAATTTCTATTAATAAACTACTTTTTGTATTTGAGAGTCGTTAACATTAGGATACACAAAAAAAGTCAACTTTTGAATTTTTATCACGTAACTCCAAAATTTTATTCTTTAGATAAAAAAAAGATATGAGCATTTAAAAACTAAATTGTTCTTCTTCAATATTGTTTGAAATTATTTACTATTTGTAGAGTAAGAAAGACTTTATTGAATTATGAATATGTTCTTTTTATTAAAATTGGCATGTATATTTAATTCTACATTTATTGTATTCAATAATTTAATTTTTAGACCTAGACGTTACAAACTTGCTGATTTAGTGGATTGGTTCATGAGAATATTGAGACGTGAAGCCGATAATTGTATGTACAGAAGAATGGATCTTGATTATTGTCCTTTCTTTAAATTAAAAGTTGAATTAACAGAAAGACTGAGTCCAGCATATCCTTTAGGACAATTATCTTGGCAAAATTTAGAAAGAGTAAGTTTAATTTATTTATCAATGGTACTATAATTGCGTTTAATGAGAATATTTAAAATAAAATAACATTTTATATCCCATTAATAAAAGCCAATGGGATATAATAATAATTCAAAATTTTTTATAACTATTACAAAATTTTTATTTGCTGTCAGTCGAATATAAATGAAAAAGAATTTTAATTGTTTTATTTCAGGAGCATACCACTGATAATATTGTAAAAGGTTTGCCTATGCTTGAAGATCTTGGAGTAAATCCTATTGTAATTGATTCACAAGTCTTATGGGAGTTGGCACCATGGCGGTATGATTTAGCTTATCAAGAATATTATGGAGAATATGATGATCCTCCTCCACCACCTCATATTACTGCAACAATTTAACTGTTAACTTATTAGATATGTACGCTTGTTTATTTTGAAAATAATATATTGTAGTAAGAAATAATGTGTTAAATATTTAAATTATAATTTTTGTTTCATGATCAAAAAAACAAGCCTAACATTTTGTTTTAGAGCCGAGAAAGCGTTTCGATGTATTTTTTTTTTTATATAATATTGATTCTTCGTAAAGAGGGCATTTTTATTTCTTTGCGTTACATCATCTAAATATAATTATTGAGTTATCAATATTAGAGAAAAATATCATTTCATATCTCTTAACTATGATGCCATCCCTGCTTAAAATAAGACTCCAAAATATTGAATTACATTCATTCGCGTAATTTTTGACAGCAAGTAGATGCATTTTCTTACAAGTTTAAGGGTTAAAAATAGGAGTTGAAAAGTGATATTTTGAGTGCCAAATATATATGTATTATTATTATAACAATTATAAAAAATGTTTTTTTTTTGCAAAGAAAAAAGTAATTTTTTAAATTACTTAAAGCTAAGGTAAACGTAGAGAATCTATTTTGGAATAATTCTACAAATTGGTATTAAAATTATTCAACTTCCTCTCCCAAAATTATAAGGGTGTTAAATTGAATTCACTATTTTGAAGTTTTGAAAATTGGTTTTAGAATCCTAATTAGAGAGCTTAAAAATTAACTAGGAGTTTCGTTAAGAAATTTTAATCACCCCCTTCCCAAATTTTCGTTCTCCATTTTGAATTTTGAAAAACTGATATCAGATTCGTAATTAGTGAACCTAAGATCATTTTAATGAACCTAGCTTAATTTTTAAAATTTTTTATCTCCGACAATTACAAAATTCAATAAAGCCCAATTGGCATTAAAAGTTTTAATTTAACTTACAATAAATGTTGTTTTGATGGAAACAACAATGAAGACGTGAGGTGGCTCCGTTAAAAAAAATGCCCGATATATATTTCTTATTAAATATAACCATTGGAATAACTTTTATGTTTTTTGAAATAAATAACACCTGATTATAATATATATATATAATGAAATTAAAATTATATTTATTTTTATTATTCAACAAAATGTTTGCACAAAACTTGCTTGCGTAATATAAAAAATCATCCTTATGCATAATAATATGTTTTAAAATTTTAGAAAAGTTATTTAAAAATTTTTAGAATATACAATTTACATGAGTTTAAAAAGTTTGTTTACAATGTAACTGAATGAAGATTAGAACTACTTGGCGTTGTTGACGAACTTGATTGTGAAGATTCTAAAGGACAAACTAAATTTGTAAAGTCAATTTCATTTTTACTTTTCTTACGTTTTAATGTAAATTGAGATTTTTTTGGCACCTGTAAAAGAAAAATATTTAATTTTACTCCTTAGCAAAATATTTCACGTTAAAATAACAAATAAATATTTACTGTTTAATATGATATTGCAACTCTTGGTAATAACTATTTACCTTTAATCTAGCTGTAAGAGTAAGTGGTATAAATCCAGGCGAATTTTCAATTTCTCTTTTGTGTTGTACAATATCTTTGCCAAGAAGTTCATTAAAATGAGTAACTAAATGTCGACGTAGTAATGATTTTGCAGGCGAAATACTTAAAAGGGTGGCTAATAATTCTGCAGTAAATCTCCCCTCATAAACCATAAGGCTGCCATGAACGCCAGATCCTCTTAAATTAGGCGCATATTCGGCTAGATCAACAACGCGAAGCCATTCCATAACTCGATGATTTGTCCAAAGTGCAACATTTGTTCCATCAACAAAATTACCATTTGGCGATCGACGTTCCAAATTATCAAATTGAAAATCCAAATCGCGCAACACCTATATATAAGAATTAAATCGAATTATATGTTTATCGTAATCAGCAAATGTTTTACAAAAATTTAATTCAAACAAACCTGAATACCACGACGTAAACTGGATGCATGTAATTGTGATATGACACCAAGATTCAGTAAATCTTCTGTTACCAATCTATGTAAAACTCTTCCGTCTACTTTTCCAATGTGAAAAGCTTCTTTATGTTGAGGTAAGCCAATGTCATCAAGCCATCGTAAAACTGCTGCATTATCCATCTATTTGTAAGACAAATAATCCCTTAGTTGCTGTTATGATTTTAAAGAAAGTTCTATATAGGGGTTTTTGGGTCGCTGAATACAAATCCGAGGTCAAATTTTCAAAATTCAAAATGTCGGATCCAATATGGCGGACATTTTTTATTAAATTCACTATATTCGCTTGAAACTTATTAGTAGGGAGTTTATGAGGTCGCTGATTACGAATCCAATGTCCGTTTTTCAAAATTCAAAATGGCGGATCCAATATGGCAGACGACTTTTAAAAACACTTAACGTACTCGTTTAAAAATCGTTACTCGGTGGTTTTTGAGGTCACTGATTATGAATCGGAAATCTGATTTTCAAAATTCAAAATGGTGGTTACAAAATGGCGGAATTTTTTTTTAAATTCAAAATATTCGCTTCAATCTTTTTACTCAGGGGTTTTTGTAGTCAATAATTTTTCGCTATATTGAATTCGACATTTTGAATTTTAAAAAATTAAAAAATCCGTCTTAGAATTCGAAATCAGCGCCCCTAAAAATCCCGAGTAAAAAGATTGAAGTGAATATTATGAATTAAAAAAGAAATTCCGCCATATTTGTAACCGCTATTTTGAATTTTAAAAATAAGATTTCCGATTCGTAATCAGCGACCTCAAAAACCACCAAGTAATGATTTTTAGACGAAGACGTTTAGTTTTTTTAAAAGTCGTCTGACATAATGGATCCGACATTTTGAATTTTGAAAATCTGACTTCCTATTAGTAATTAACGATTCCGAAAACCCCCAAGTAGAAATTTTCAATTGATTTCAATTACTTCTTTATATGTAAATTAATTGTAGACGATATCATACTCTATGACGAAGATTTTGAAAAAGTCATCTTTTTTTTGAGGCAATGATTTTGAAAACGGACAACGTTATTTTATTCAGTACACCTGAGACTATCGAAAAATGATCTTTTTTTTAATTTTCATAAATTATTGGTTTTGTTGGTCTTATTTATATAATGACGAAGATTGGCGTTTTTGACGCAATCTGGGAAAAGTAGTTAATGGCGAAGATCTTCGCCGGGAGTATATTACTATAAGTTATGTATATATATATATATATGAAGGGTAGAATGACAAAAGGGGTCAAGCGCCAATTTATCGAAAATGAGGTTTTTGCAAAAAAAAATCAAGAAAATTCATTTACACATTTCTGTAGAAGGATTTCCTTTTTTATTGCGTATTTAAATCAGTTTTTAATAAAAATTAAATTAACAAAATAGCCTCAAATTTACTTTATTGCAACCTGATTGAAAAACAAAAGAAAGTGATGAGTCAATAATATTATCAAAATAAAAGAAAAATATTATTTTTTTAGGTTTTATTTTAATATTTTATTTTAATTTTATTTTAATAATATTTTAATTAATAAAATTAATAATAATAATAATGTATTTTCAATTTTAAACAATTTTAAAATCATTTTGTTATTAATTTTTAAATATTTTTATGGTTATACTAAGTGAACAATTGAATTTAAAGATGAAAGTATTGCTCAATTCCAAAGCAAGCAATTAATTCGTAATTTTCTTGAAAACAAACAATTTTTTAAAGGAATTTTTTTTTCTATTCATTTCGTCGATTCCATGGAAAGAAACTAATTTTCCAGTTTTTCTTTAAACTGTATATTTTTTTTATAATTAATGCTTAAAGAAAATGTGCGCAGTTGATATAACCTCAAGGAACCACAGTTTTTTTTAATTTTATCGTTAATATGTAGGTTTATTTCAACAAATTGTTGTTTATTTATTAAAACATACTAATATATCGAAACGGTTTTCTCAGTTTTTTTTAAATGACCTGGAAAATTTTTAAAAATGTTTTTTTTACTTCCTGTAAAAACAGTGAATTGGCGCTTGACCCCTTTTGTCATTCTACCCTTCATATATAAATCTCTAAAATACCTTTTCAGAACCATGAAAGCCTTCTCCGTGACATCTTTCGAATTCAATAGCAAACAAAAGTTTTTTACAATGTAAAGGATTTTTAATGTCCAATTCTCTTTCAATTTGATGTTGCGTTGATGTTAACAATTTCTGACCAGTTGCTTTCCATTTTCTTAATTCATCAGTATAACATTCAAGTCCCAATTTTATTAACCACTTTCCAATATCTTCTGAAGAAAATGATGCAAATGTTTTGGATAATTTTGTTTCTTCGTTAGCTTCTTTTTTATTTATTTGAGTCTGCTCTAAGGCTAAAAATAAATTTTCAATTAAAAACATTATTTACAAATAAATTAAATATTATATTGACAGTAAAATATTATGTTTTCAATGATTTAGAAAATATAAATATTTAACTGAACCAACTATACTGAGATGAAAATATTAGAAAACTAACAAAATCTGTTTGAATTAACTATGTTGTAAAGACAAAAAAATATTTTTTTATCAGTTTAATTGTTAAATAAATCGAAATTAATAATCATCTCGTTTCGTCATTTATCACTAAATATAAATATATTTAATAACTTACCAAACATAACTCCTTTTGAAGATGTTGACGATCGCGGTAGACTGTTATATTGGCCAGTAAACCTATTAAATTGTTCTCCCTAGAAAATAAAAATTGCATTGTTCACTTCACATAAATAATAATTTTCCATTGTATAAATTCCTAATTTATGACAGAAAAAACTTTTTTTTTTAAATAAAACTTTTAAAAAATTAACATTTTATTGAAATTTCTAGAAATTTATTTTCCGAACAGTTGTCTTTACCAAAAATATTAAATATGAAAAAAGCTTTGATCGTTTAAACTTAATTCCTGATGGTAAACTATAATGAAAAACTGTTCAAGATCAACTTGAAAACAATGAGATGCATGAATTATGTCTAAAATTAATTTGTTAGAATTTTTATTTGATAGTATTTTCATTTCACTAATTTTTCATATTACACAGTTTTTACTTAACCGAAAAAAAGAATTAAAAAAAGAATTCTTAAGGGTATGTGGGAACCTCCCACGTGACCTAGTATGGAAAAATGTGTTTTGGTAGTATACGTCTTACTCTAAAATGAAAAAAGATTTTTGTCTAAAATTTTGAGGGATAATAGATTTGGGTTCAAGGAATCTCGCTGTTCTCCGAAAAATACATAATTTTATGTTAAATTATTAAAAAATGAATTTTAAAAAGTGGCATTTTTAAACAAAAATAAAAACAAACATGGCGGCGCATACACAGACGTTGCTTGAGTGTGTCAGTGCTCCAGTAAAAAGCGCCAATTCGAGCAAGTGGCCGCTGAATGAACTATGCTATAATACATTATTTTACTATTTATTGCTTTATTTTTATTATTTTTGCGTTATGTCATAGTAAATGTAAAGAACAGCGAGATTCCTTGCACCAAACGAAATCATTTTTCCAAAATTTTAACCCGAAATAATTTTTTATTTTAGAGAAAGTTTCAAACAATAAAAAACATCCTTTGTCCACATACCCTTAAATGAATTTTTATTTGATCGAAATTTTATTTGACAGAACTTTCATTTGTTCGAATAACCATTCGGAGGAAATTTTAAAAAATTAACCAATCAAAATTTTGTGGGTAATTTCTCATTGGTTAATTTTAAAATTCGAGTTCAAAAGTTTCAGACTAAATTAATTCGAACAAATAAAACTTCTGTCAAATGAAAATTCGATCAAATAGAAATTTTTCATAAATTAATTTTCGGTTAAGTAAAAATTCTTGTAATATGAATTCTAGTTTTGGACAATTTTTTGTCTTGAATTTCTTAAATTTTCTTAAAGGGAGGCACCACCTTTATTTTGAGTCCTTTAAATTTGAATAATGGCTGGAACTTAAATTTTTTTCTTGCATCTTTTGGGTCTTGAAAACACGCAAAATGGTCAAAAATTAAAATTTCATTTTTTTGCCTTCGAAATGATGCAAAAGAAAAAAATAATTTCCTGCGATCATTAAAATTTAAAGGACTCAAAATAAAGGTGGTGCCTTACCTTAAAGTTTTATTTACAATTAAAATAATAATAGTTTTATGAATAAAATTAAAAATTTGAATAATAGTAATAAAAAAATATTTACATTCGAAAATGGACTAGTTGTGCGCAGTGCAATATTTTCATGTTCTAAAGTAGCCACTTTAAGTTTCATCTCAGATAAAGAAGTTAAAAGTTCCAATTTCTGTGTTTCTAAATTACTTCGAGCTAATACTTCCTAGAATCAAAGAAAATAATATTTATTTATTATAAAACAATTCAATTTTTATATGGGCATACACAATACTTTTAAATCTGAATTTTTTATATCAAAATTTTTTTTTTTAAATTATTATTATTTAATAGGTAATTAATTATTATTTAACATCCTTGTTATGAAATATCTTCAAAAATTAAATTATTTTCAAAATTATAATTTTTAAATTCTCAAAAAAATTTTTTTTTCCATAATTTAATTGACTTTTAAAACATAACTCAACATAAGTTGGACAAATATTGATGGATTTTTTTTTTGAAACTTTGTGTATTTTATGTAGTTTATCCTATTAAAGACGATAATTATAAAACGATTTAAAAAAGTTCTTATTGTTTAATAATAAATAATAACAAAGTTGTAATTTTGATAATATGCGTTTTCAAATCTTCCAATGAAAAAGTTATTCAGATATTTTTTTTATGTCTAATATTTAGAAATATTTAAAGTTTATGCTTTTCACATAATTAAAAAATTTTACTTTTTGTAAAGCTTCTTCCATTTGTTTGAATGATGATATATTTTCATGTAAAACATGTTCGAGTTCATGGATTTTGTTTGATTGGGCATCAACTTGCTCTGAAAGAACAGATATTTCCATACATAGAACACTTCGTTCATTCTCCAATTTTTTTAAATATTCCTAAAACAAAATAATTATTTATAATTTAAATTTAAATAATTTAATTTTTTTTGTCTTTTAGTTAAAAAAAAAAAACATTATGGATTTTTTTGTTCCGATAAAGTTTGTAGATACTTACAGGTTGAAGCCAATTTAATAAAACTTCAACTACTTTCTTGTCTAGTGATGGAAGAGGACATTGAGCTTCTGTAATAGCAGCTACTAAATTTTTGGCACCATCCACTACCGTATCTTTCCATTCATTATTCGCTTCACTATTTTCGGCACAAGTTCCTATGACAAAAAAATTTTACAATCTCTAGAATGTGAAAGAATGTACCTATAAGGACGATTTTTTTTTCACTTCTTTTTTGTGTTTGCATATGTAAAAATAATTTCAGTTCACATTAATATTTCAAAAAGTCGGAAAAATGGTTCAAAAAATTGGAAAACATGAAATTTCCATCATCATTAAATAAAATTTTTATTTTAAAGAATTTTATTAAATAAAATTATTTTTTAGATGAATTTTCCCTTTTTTGAATTACTCTTTGGCAAAATTTCTTTTTAAACAAATTTTTATTAAATACAATTTTTAGGTACCGAATTATTAAAAAAATTATTTAAAAAATTTGAATTTAACAGAATAGGTATTAATTTAGTAGAATTTTGATTCAACAAAATTTTATGTGATTCGAATTTTTAAATGACAGTATTTTGAATTCATCGAATTTTTATTTTAACAAATTATTATTTGATACAATTTTTAAAACGTTCGAAAATTCAATTCACGAAGCTAATTATAAGGCAACGCTTATTATTTTAATGCCTTTTAATTTTCTGTGTTGTATATTGATTCAAAAATTGTATACAAATACAAAAAATTTATGATGAGAAAAAAATGCGCCAGGAAATTTCGTACAAGATAGTAATTTGAAAAAAATTAATTTTTAAAAATTAATTTTTAAGGAACCAGGGGCCAACGAATACCTATTAAATATTAATTATAAAAACACAGGCCTCGAATCAACTTAAAGACACAAAAAGTCGTTTTAGTCGATTTATATTCCAAAAGAAAATGGATTTGTTTTATATTTTAACAAAAATATTTTACAGATTTTTAAATAAAAAAATTTTTTTAATAATAATCCTTTCGAAGGGTTAAAGTTGAAATTTTTAGAAATAATTAAATTTCAAAAGATATTGTTAATTTTCAAACAATTGTTAAATTTTACAGAACTAAAAATAATTTATCAAACAATTTTTGGAAAACATTTTTTAAATTTAATTGAATTTTCAAAGATTGAAAATTGAGATTTTTGAAATTAATTGAAACTTTAAGTGTTTTGTAATTAAAATTTTAGATGATTTCACTAAAAATTTATTAGAAAATGCGGACAAAATACAATAATTTGAAAATCATTTTTAATTGAAAAATGGTTTCAGATAGTTGAAATTTCAAAGAATATTATTAAAATAGTTAAAAATAATTGAATTTCCTAAGAGTTATAATTGAAATTATTAAATTTCAAAAAAAAATTTTCAATGGAAAATTTTAGAAATAATTAAATTTTAAATGCTTTTAAATTCAAATTATTGAAAATTCAATTAATTTTGAATTCAAATGTTTGAGAATAATGAAATTTTATTTGATTTTAAATTTGGAAAATAATTGAATTTCAGTTCATTTTGAATTGAAAATTTTGGTAAATAATTAAATTTTAAATTGAAAATTTTGGATAATTATTGGATTTTTAATTGATTTTGAATTAAAATTAAAAAAAAAAAATTAAAAATAATTGAATTTTAGTTTATTTTGAATTGAAATTTTTAAAAAATAATTCAATTTTATTGTGACATTTTTTTTTTAATTATAAACAATTGTTAAATTTCATAAAAATTTTAATTGGAAAATAATTTTGATATAATTGAATTTGTGATGTATTTCATTAAAATTATTAAAAATAATTAATTTAGTGAAGAATCTTTTTAGTTCAAAATTTCTTAAATAATTGAATTGAAGAAGATCTGAAGAAGATCTACATTTTATACTAAAAAATGTATTTTATTTACATTTTTTTTCAAATGTAAAAAAAATGTCGCATTTTATTAAAATAAGTCGATAAAAGTCGTATTTTTGAAAAAAGTCGGAAAAAGTCGTATAATCCGAGGCCTGTAAACATATAATTTCCATTATTATCATTTAATATGTAATAATATTCTAATAAATTAAATTATTATTGATAATATTAATCTTTAATTTCTTTATAACAAACAATTAAATACTCAATTTGGCGCGCTTGCGCGCGCGTTTAATTTTGCTAGTTTTGTTAATAAATTTATTTATTACCAGAGATAATACCATCCATTTGGATTAAAGCAGCTTCTAACATTCTACTAGCATCTGATGATTTGTTTAATAATGACGATTCCTTTGTCTCAGATTGACTTTGATTCAACTGACTTTTTCCCATCACTATCTTCTGTAAATTAAATAAACAATAATGGCAGGGCGACACTTTTTCCAAAAAATGCTGTTCTCAAGGAATAGTGTTTCCAAAAAAAACTTTTTTCCCAATATTTTATTCTCCCAGAATGATATGTTTCATTCAAATAATTTAAAAGACTTTTTATTATTAGCAGATTGGCAATAAATATAAATTATAAAATATTTATAAAATTAAATAAAAAATATAATTATAAATATTAATAAACATATAAAATAAAAATTAAGTGAAAATTATAAGAATATAATTACAAATTAAAGAAAATATCAGTGGATCAAAATTGGATATTTTTTAACCAATGGTTTGCAAATAACAAGTAACATTATTCCTGTGCCGATAATAATATATGCCATTTATTTTTGTTAGTAACAAACAATTACAAATAAAATAAATTTTTAAATGTTTCAAACTAAATTTTATCTCGCATTTAAAAATAGAATATCATAAGAGCAAGACTTTTCGATGAGGTGCATAAAAATCCTCTAAATCCTATAATACCGAAATCGTTTACATTTGTAAAATTTAAACCCTGGATGTCAAGTAATAGATTTAAATGTAAAATCTTGTAATAAATGTTTATGTAACCACTGAATACACTCACACCAAAAGTTTCGCGTTGGTCCCACGTCTATTTTTAGATATTAAATTAGTCAATTAATTGACTTTCATCTAACGGATGTTAGATGAACGAACATTTTTTAAAAAAAACTTAATTTTTAAATGTTTTAATCTCAGGCATTTTCTTGCTAAGGTGTAAATTATGTTATTTAAAAAATAAAGATTATTTATGATTTTTTTTCGGCATTTTTGAAAGCCTATACTTTCTAGAATAAATGTTATCTTCAGTTTAGTTCAAAAAGGTAGTCTTTATGCTGGTAGAGCAAAGTGTTTCGCATTAGCAACAGTTTACGTTTTTTGTGATCATGTTGCTGTAAATTAATTATGAGAAATTTTTAATTAAATTCACAAATGAAATAATAGACATCTATTACCCCCGTGTAATTAACGGATTTATTCTCTTATTATAAAAAATCAAACCATTCTACACGGAGAAAATCTGAAAGAACTGACAAGTAAACCTACGGAAGTGATAATCTCCGATTTTAATGAAACTTGGTATGAATGTAGTACTCGGAAAAAAATAAGAGACCCGTATAATTTTATATCTGCCATGATCCACTTTAATGGGTAGAAATCACCCCTTGAAGTTATAGGGGTGTAATATCATAATTAGAGGCTGTGGTCAAACTATTACAAATAGCTAAACAGTCAATACCGCAATGAAAATATTAAAAATGAAGATAACTTTCCATAGAAAAATATTTAAAAAATTCAATTGTTTAAATAATTACTTTAGATCAACAAAAATCTTAAAATCTTATAACGCCATTTGATTTTACAGAAAAAAATACTACGAAACTGTGTCTGGAAAATTTTTTTAAATTTCATTTTACATAAAAAAATTAAATGAACAATTTTATAACTAATAAGAACTTCACATCGGCAATTGAAAACCCATAATAATATTAATTGAGATTAAAACTTATTGGAAAAATTTTTTTTAAACATTTTGATAGAGGAAGTTAATACAGGGTAATGATAATTGTTAATCTTTTAACTATCGCACAAAATTATGAATATAAAATGTTATATTTTTTCCCAGTATTTTCACTTAGAATCGAAATATAGGATTAATTTTTTTTAAAGTTGTAAGTTCTTTTTTTGTTTATAAATATTGAATAGCGTTGATATTTTTTTTGAAAAATTTGTTAAATTGTTTATAACAAATTGTAATAATTTTTTTTTCAAAAAATTTTAAACACGAAAATTTATTGCTAGGATCTCATTAGTTGTTTTTTGATGTCCACTTATCTCTGCCCATGGGCAGGACAAGTATAAGTGCATTATATTTGTTTATAACATTTTTACAACAATATTAGTTGAAAAAAAATTATTTCATACATGTTCTCTTATTAATTTTCCACGTTGAAACGAATGACGTCATTTTTTTGAAAAATTCAAAATTTCTTTATTTGTTTATAACAAATTGTTATAAACAATTTATTTTATTTATACGTAAAAATTCATTGCCAGGTCTCATGCTAGGATCTGAACAGTTGTTTTTTTTATATTTGCTTCACTCTGTCCATAAGCATTAATGTGTTAATAGATTAATTGTTAATTAGTGATAAGCAATTGAATACTCTTTCGTAGTATTTTTTTCTGTAAAATCAAATGGCATGGCGTTATAAAATTTTAAGTTTTTTGTTGATCTTAAGTAATTGTTTAAACAATTGAATTTTTTAAATATTTTTCTATGGAAAGTTATCTTTATTTCTAATGTTTTCATTGCGGTATTGACTGTTTAGCTATTTGTAATAGTTTGACCACAGCTTCTAATTATGACATTACACCCCTATAACTTCAAGGGGTGATTTCTACCCTTTAAAGTGGATCATGGCAGATATTAAAATATACGGGTCTCTTATTTTTCCGAGTAATACATTCATACCAAGTTTCATTAAAATCGGAGATTATCACTTTCGTAGGTTTACTTGTCAGTTTATGTAATTTTTATTTTTTTATAAACTACCGTCGGACATTGTCGGTACGGATGACGTGCGAGGAGTGGAAATTTAGTGCTAAATTTAAAGCAAGATATTTTAAGTTAGAAAAAAATTAGAGACTTGTAACTCAGAATGGTTGGAAAGCTGATAAAATTCTGCGTCTGAATGTACAGTCGAACCTCGATAAGTGAGAATCCAAGGGACCAAAAATTCTTTTTCACTTATAGAGATTTCTCAGTAAGACAGGTTCTCACTTATTAAAGTTGAAGAGCGGGTTTTCTTATACTTGCAGAGGTTATTGCACTGATAGAGGCTTTTTAAGGGTTTTGTTAATTAAAGTTTCACTTTTACGTAATAAGAAATTTCATATACTTATTTATTTAACAAATTTAATAAAAATTGTTATTGCTTTAAGCTTTATGAAAAAAGTCTGTTATTACTGTTTGTTTTTTAGTTGTGCAATTTTGAACATGGTGTTCAAGCTCATAAATTTTGTCAAAAACTGATTCATTAATATTCGTTGAAAATTCAAAAAATTTATGAATTGTCTGTAGTGCACTTAATTTCTACTAAATAATAAATTTTAATATAGAACAGATTCTCAGTTATAGAGGTTTGAAAAGCGCGCTTCTCTCACTTACAGAGGTTTTATAATTATAATATAGAAAAGATTATTAGTTATAGAGATCTGAATAGCGCGCTTCTCTCACTTACAGAGGTCTAATCAAGAAAAATGATTCTCACTTATTGAGGTTTTTGCATGTAAAAATGACGGGACTTGTAAATTCCTCTCACTTATAGAAGTTTCTCAGTTAGGCAAGTCTCAGTTACGAAGGTTCGACTGTACATCAAGAAAAATTTTTTCTTTTTTTTTAGCATTTATAACACCGAAAAGATTTCAAGAAAAAATTAGGCACATTTTCCTGCTTTCGTACTAACATGCTCGAAATTTTTTTAACATATTTCAGGATCTACAAAACATTTTTTAAGTTTTCAAAATTTTAACACAATCCTTAATTTCTTATTGTTAGCTTTAATTTGCTTTTTTGAAACTTAAAAAAATTTTTGTATTTCCTGAAATATGTTAAAAAAATGTCCGAGCATGTTTTTCTACAATTCAGCCGTCGATCATCAAAAATGTAAATTAAAGCTAAGACCTTAAAGATTATGTTGTAAAATTGTCAAATTTTTCCATACATTATTCTAGATTATGCCGGAAGTCAAAAACATTAGTACGAAAGTAGAAAAATTGGGGGCGGTACGAATTCAACACAAATGAACTCTACACAAGAAAATACTGCACCCACTGCACCGCTAACTGTACACGAGTAAATTCTCAATAAAATAAAATAAAAATATATTCTACACAATTAAATACTACATCGAAAAAAAATCGAATTTAATTTATTATTTTTTATAGTAGTGTAGAATTTACTAATGTAATATTTATTTGTGTAGAATTATAAAAAAAATATTTTTATTTTTCTAATTCTAAATCTTAATGTGTTGAGTTTATTTGTGTAGAGTTTACGGAGATAATTTTCTAGTTAATAGTTTATTGTGTAGGGTTTTTCGATGTAATATTTAATTGTTTAGAATATATTTTTATTTTATTTTATTGAGAATTTACTCGTGTACAGTTAGCGGTGGAGTATTTTCTTGTGTAAATTTTTCTCGTTTTGAATTTTATTATTTTCATTTAATATGTTGAATTTTGAATGTGTACAGTTTATTTGTGTAGGATTAAAATATTTTTATTTGATGTGTAGAATTTATAAATATTGAGTTTAATTGTGTAGAATTTTATAAATAATCGGAAATAAAGAAAATATTATTTTCATGTGTAAAATTTAATTGTGTCGTATTTAATTTTTTATTTTTTGTAGCTGTGTAAAATTTACTGATGTAGTATTTATTTGTGTAGAATTATAAAAATTTTTTTTTCATTTTTCTAATTCTAAATCTTAATGTGTTGAGTTTATTTGTGTAGAGTTTATGAAGATAATTTTCTAGTAAATAGTTTATTGTGTAGGGTTTTTCGATGTAATATTTAATTGTGAAGAATATATTTTTATTTAATTTTGTTGACAATTGACTCGTGTACAGTTAGCGGTGCAGTATTTTCTTGTGTAGAGTTTATTTGTGTTGAATTCGTACCGCCCCGAAAAATTGCATAATTTTTTCTTGAAATCTTTTCGGTGTTATAAATGCTCAAAAAAAGAAAAAAATTTTCTTGATATACATTCAGACGCAGAATTTTATTAGCTTTCCAATCATCTAAGTTATAAGTCTCTAACTTTTTTCTAACTTAAAATATTTTGCTTTAAAGTCAGCACCAAATTTCCACTCCTTTGCACGTCAGCCGTACCGACAATTTCCGACGGGGCGGTATAGATTCTACACAAATAAACCCTACACGAGAAAATTGCGCACCGATAATTTTACAAAAAAAAATTCTACACTTGGACAATAAGCAAAATAAAATTAATTAACAATTTTTTACTTTACACAATTAAATCAAACATAATTTTATTCTACACATTCAATTGCACACAGGAAAACCCTACACCGTTAACTCTGAAAAAAAAATTCTACACAATAATATGCGGAATAAAATTTAAAAACAAATAATAAAAATTCTAAACGATTAAATACTACAAAATATAACCGTACAAATTAAATTGCACTCAGGAAAACCCTACACGATTAACTCTGCACAAGAAGATTCTGCACCTTAATAATAACCAGAATAAAATTCTGAAATAAAAAATTTATTTTTAATAATCCTACACGATAAATTGCACATAAAATAATTCTACACCACTAATTTTGCAAATAAAATTCTACAGTTAAATGCTAGACCTTTTAATCAATAAATTTTAAAATTCTACAGAGTAAAGTTCTAAATGAAAAACTCTCCACGATTAATTGGAATTTTTTAGATTCTACACAGTCATAAGTATGTTTATTTATGAAAAAAACAGGGTTGCCATGTCGACTGTGTAGAATATAAAAAATTCTAATTAACCGTGGAGAGTTTTTCATTTAGAACTTTACTATGTAGAATTTAAAAATATACAATTAAAAGGTTAAATAAATAATAAAAGTATATTGTTTATTTATTAACATATAAAAATGAGTTGCCATATTAACTGTGTAGAATCTAAAAAATTCCAATTAATCGTGGAGAGTTTTTCATTTAGAACTTTACTCTGTAGAATTTTAAAATTTATTGATTAAAAGGTCTAGCATTTAACTGTGGAATTTTATTTGCAAAATTAGTGGTGTAGAATTATTTTATGTGCAATTTATCGTGTAGGATTATTAAAAATAAATTTTTTATTTCAGAATTTTATTCTGGTTATTATTAAGGTGCAGAATCTTCTTGTGCAGAGTTAATCGTGTAGGGTTTTCCTGAGTGCAATTTAATTTGTACGGTTATATTTTGTAGTATTTAATCGTTTAGAATTTTTATTATTTGTTTTTAAATTTTATTCCGCATATTATTGTGTAGAATTTTTTTTTCAGAGTTAACGGTGTAGGGTTTTCCTGTGTGCAATTGAATGTGTAGAGTAAAATTATGTTTGATTTAATTGTGTAAAGTAAAAAATTGTTAATTAATTTTATTTTGCTTATTGTCCAAGTGTAGAATTTTTTTTTGTAAAATTATCGGTGCGCAATTTTCTCGTGTAGGGTTTATTTGTGTAGAATTTATACCACCCCTTTCCGACAGTAGTGTATATTTTGTATTTTTTTTTTAAATATTGTATTTAAATCGTTGTTCTTGTGGCTTGCCTAGGACAAAATAAAGGAATTATGAATTGTTGAAAAATATTTTAGTTTATAATACAAAAATGTTATTTTTTTGATAAAAATATATAAATATTTCTTTGATATTATTATTATTAAATTTATCATTTAAACATTTATTGAAAAACAAAAAATTTAGAAATTAACTTTTGAAAAATGTGAAGTTAGTAAAAAAAATTTTATTTAAATAAAAAAAAACGGTTTTTTTAATTTAAAAAAAAAATCATGATTTTTATCAGCCCTGAATATAGAAATCTAAAAATTTGAAGTTAGAAAAACGCGTTTTTCTATTATATTTTACTTTTTTTTTACTAGAACAATTTTTATTGAAAATAGGTAAAAAGATGAATTATTTACCGAAAATAGGTCTTGTAACTAATTTAAATTTAGCCTAAATAATTTTTAAATCGATAAAAATTTTGATAAATTCAAATTTGTATCTCTTGAATCATTGAAAGTAAACATGAAAATCTGTAAATTTTGTGTTCTCTAAATTAACATAAGCTCAAGGAATGTAAAAAAAAATATTTTTAAACTAATAACGAAAATAGTTTTCAACATTTTTGAGCTTAAATCAATATATTTTTACATTGTAAATTTAAATATTACATTATTTTGCAAATTAATCGAATCATGGGAAAAGTAAAAAAGGTAACAAATTGTCAAAGTAGTTGAAAAAAAAGTAAATAGATTCTAGAGGTAAAAATTCTTTAAAAAAAAATTTACACATACTGGAAGCATATGAATGATATTTTCTGTAAATTGATTCAATTTCACAAATTTCACTAAGAAAAAATTTTTTCCTGAATTGTGCCTATCCTGATAAAGAAAATTCCATTTTCCATTAAAAGCTGTTTACAGTTTTTAATTATCAACAATAATATCGTCATATAAAAATAACTTTACATATGTTTTTATGTAAGTTTTAACAAAACTTTTGAAAGTGTAATTAAAGAAAATTTTAACCGGATAAAAATTATTGTATTTAAATTTAACATGTTTTAAAATATTTAAACATGAATTATAGACAAATTTTTTTGAAACGAAATACAGGGTGTCCCATTTTAATCTATCAGGCGAAATAACTTTTAATCAGTTGATTTTACAAAAAAATGTTTCAGACAAAAGTTGTTTTGCTCAGAGGGGGACATCCAGTGACAAACTTTAATTTGACCTAAATGACCTAAATTAGGACATTTCAAGGTCAACTCATTTTTTTTAAATGGAACCACCTACTTTTTATGCCGGAAATCGATAGAGCAGGAAATTCCACGTCGAAATCGTTGATGCACTTTTTTTCGATAGGTCGACCTATTTAGGACAAATAGGTCATTTAATTTTTATTGTATTAGGGGGAATAACTTTAAACTAATTAATTTCACAAAAACATGTTTCAGTCAAAAGTAGTTGTGGTTAAAGGGGAATATTCAGTGATGACCTTGAATTTGTTCTAAATGACCTAAATTAGGTCATTTCAATATCAACTCATTTTTTTAATGGAACCATCTACTTTTCATGTTATAAATTGGAAGAGCAGGAAATTCCACGTTAAAATCATCAAAGTACTTTTTTCGACTGGTCAACCTATTCAAGTTAAATAGGTCATAATCAATTTGACCTACAAGGCCTTGGTTAGGTCTAGTCTAGGTCAAATAATTTTTCATGAAGAAAGATCAAGTTTTTATGCAAGGAATCGTCAGGGCAAGAATTTTTATGTAAAAAACACTAATGTCATGTTTTTAGGTCAAATAGGTCATATTTAATTTCTTATTAAACTGTATTTTGTATTAAAAGCATTTTATGCAGCTCTTGGCTAGTTTTTAGAAAACTACTCAGAACTCACCACGTGAAAGTGGCTACACATCGAGTTCCAGCTACTCCTCACCCAACCGACCTACCTTAACGAAAGAATTTTTTTTTTGCAAAAAGTGAGTCACTAATTCAAATTAGTAAACATTTTTACTAATTTAGATTTAGAGAGTGACATTTTTATTAAATAGAAAAACTTAAAAAAAATTAAAAAATAAAATACAAAAAAAAACTCTTTCGTTAAGGTACATAGGTCGGTTGGGTTGAGGAGGAGGTGGAACTCGATGTGCAGCCACCTTCACGTGGTGAGTTCTGAGTAGTTTTCTAAAAACTAGCCAAGAGCTGCATAAAATGCTTTTAATACAAAATACAGTTTAATAAGAAATTAAATATGACCTATAAAAAGTAGGTGGTTCCATTTAAAAAAAATGAGTTGACCTTGAAATGTCCTAATTTAGGTCATTTAGGTCAAATTCAAGTTTGTCACTGGATGTCCCCCTCTGAGCAAAACAACTTTTGTCTGAAACATTTTTTTGTAAAATCAACTGATTAAAAGTTATTTCGCCTGATAGATTAAAATGGGACACCCTGTATATTGACTTTACTTTGATATTTAATTAAAAAATAATACACTTAAGAGTTGTTTGTTTATATATATAGTGTATAAATTAGAAAATAAAAGCAGTTAGTTAGCGATAGTTAGTAATTTTTGTTTTGTATAAAAATTATTTATTTTAAATAAAAATAATAAACAAATTCCTACATACATAGCCAAATGGAAACAATGTCAATATACTTTTTGTATATACATACAAAATAATACTTGTATAATAATAACAAACAAAAAAGATATAGTCCTTAGAATGTCATATGGTCTATGTGTGCAGTCATTACTGTGGACTATTTTCAATTGAAGTTCAATCCACAATGACTCACGGCCAGGGTTGGAGAATGATGAATCGTTCTTTTCTTTGTTTCTAACGTAAATTACGTAGGGTGTCTTCGGGAGTTTGGGTACGGTCACACTATCTCATGCATGCACTGTGCAATAAGGCAGTCCAACTTGTGACGTAGCGTGACGTCACTTTTCAAAATGGTGGCTGGTTGGAAGACATGCAATGCATTAAAGTCAATGGAGCGAATCAGTTTTTTTAACATAACTTTTGAAAAATTAATTTTTGAACCCAAGTGTAATTGTAAAATATTTTTTATTTATCGAGATCTATTTTTTAAAATAATAAAATCAAAAAATTAATTTTTATTATTTTAAAAAATAGATCTCGATAAATAAAAAATATTTTACAATTACACTTGGGTTCAAAAATTAATTTTTCAAAAGTTATGTTAAAAAAACTGATTCGCTCCATTGACTTCAATGCATTGCATGTCTTCCAACCAGCCACCATTTTGAAAAGTGACGTCACGCTACGTCACAAGTTGGACTGCCTTATTGTGCATGCATGCAGAAACATTTGGCCGGTCACAGTTCACCGAAATTTAGTGAATGTTTAGTAACTTTCTGGTTACAACAGAAATTTTTGGAAAATTACTAGAAAGTTACTAAACATTCACTAAATTTCGGTGAACTGTGACCGGCCAAATGTTTCTGCATGCATGCACAGTGCATGCATGAGATAGTGTGACCGTACCCTTAGCTAACAGTAAAAAATTACCTAATCAGGATAAACATGCTGATGAACCAGCTAATCACAGCAATTTCCGAAAACATCCTAAAGGTGAATACAGAATAGGCACAAAAGACAAGAAGTCCAAAAAAACCATGAGTGCAAAAGAGATAGCTAGACTACCTATCTCTCTTGCACTCATGGTTTGGTTGGTTTCTATTGTCCCCACTCGCCATTTGTCATAATTTTCGTCAATTACCACACCCTGTTTTAGTGATAATTTAGTAACTTTATTGTTAAAATTAAAAATTACTATAAAGTTACTAAATTTTTACTAGAGCAGGGTGCGATAGTTGACGAAAATTATAACAAATGGGCTGTTTCCGAATTGGTATTTTTAGCGAATACTTGATAAAGTGTATACTCGGGAAGTATGCAGTCCCTTTTTTTTCGCACGGAAAAACAAGGACATTGCATACTTCCCGAGTATACACTTTATCAAGTATTCGCTAAAAATACCAATTCGGAAAGGGCCTTGGGATATGAAATACTGCGATACGCCACCTGGTGATAGCCTTATTGTGGTGGCCAAGTTTTCATTTCGTCTTTCTCTAATATATGCTAAAGAAAGAGATAAAAACCAATATGGCTACCACAAGTGGGTTATTTTTCTCATGATTCCCTATGATTTCAGATCCCAATAGGCAGTGATGGGTTGTGACGCGTCACACGAAGTTTTGTACGTATAATACGTTTTCGACGTAATATATGTATAAAATGTATAAAACCATGTAGAAAACCACTGACATTTTGACATCTATATATGATCCTCTGATTTTTGCAATAACGAATTTTTCTTATCATTCTATTTAAATTAAAGTCTTAAAATAAAATAGAAATGGTCAGAAAAAGTAAAAGAAAATCTTTTAAAGAGGGTTTGCCCTGGGAGAGTGTAATGAATGATGTATTTTAATGAAGAATTTAAAATTGCCGCTCTTAAATCACGTGATCAAATGTAATATTGGCGAAGCAAAATGATGGAGTCGCCGCCCTGGTGAATGGCGGGAGAACTAGAGTTAGTGGAAAAAATTCAAATAATGTATGGAAAAAAGATTAATTATTTAAATAATTAATTCACTAATTGTTATGTCACCCTAAATATTGTAGAATTGTACAATGTAGTTTTTAATTTATCCTATAGAAAAGAAATCTTTCAAAAAAAGCTTATCCTTTTTAAATTATAGCGCGTTGTTCACGATCAGTACAAACATACATATATATGTATATCATATATGCATAGAATCACTCTAAACGACTTAACTTAGTTTATGTTCCTTTGCTTTGATTACAAAAGTTTTGTAATTGTTAATAAATAACAAATTGGTGATTTTTGCTCATATTTGTTAAAAAGAAAATGAAAATGTCTACAAGGAAACGTAGAATGTGTTACGTACCTCAGTGCGAAGTCAAGGAGAGTATAACTGAAAACATAAGTTTTCACAAGTTTCCAAAAAATGAACGTCAAAAAAAGCAGTGGTTAAAAATATTAAAAATGAAAAGCGAAAGTATCACAAAACACACACTGGTGTGTAGTAAACATTTTCTAAAGCAGGATTATTTTATTAGTAAGTCAAAAATTAAAGTTACCTTTTATATTTAGTAAATTAAAAGGAAGTAAGTCTTTCATCGAAATTTTATGCAAATATTTTACTAATCACTACAATATTTATTTTAAAGATGCCAATGGATTCAGAAGAGATTTAAAGAAAAATGTAGTTCCTTCATTATATTTACCTGTTACTTTAATTACACAAAAAATAAAAAATCAAAACACAATGAAGGAAAGAGAGATGCGAGTAATGAAACGTAATAACTCTAAGAGGTATAATATTTATTTTCCATATGTTATTAATAAAGTTTTTTGATTAAATTTAAAATGAAAATTATAAATAAAAAATACTTATATATATATATATAAAAGTGTTTGAAAAATAGAAAGCAAAACTTACAAATTATTCTTTTTTTAATGATTCGTTCTTTTATCGATAATTTTATTTTGTAGAGTACAATTTGAAAAATCATATTTTTCATTAGAACTGTAGGGTCAGTTAGGGTAATTAGAAACGAAAGATTTTTGAGCTTAATTTACATACAAATAAATATTTTCGACATCAATATTTCAATCTCAGGCTTAAAAATTGAAAATTGCGGTTACGTTATTGGTGAACATTAGAAATTCTGTTTCCAATTACCCTAAATGATCCTGTATATGATTTTTAGTTAAATAAAATATTATTTAACTTTTTTATTACTCTATTTTTTTCACTTTTTTACTTACCTGAATAAATAAATAACACTGAAAAATTAAATTATTTTTTATTTGTTTTTAATTGAATTTTTCACACTGTTTAGGTTTTTGAATTTGCATAAACTGCAACGTCTCCATAGAGATGATGAAGATATAGTCGATGTTGAAATGCATACAGAGTTGAAGGTGAATGATAACATTGAAAAGTCTATGGAAATTCAAGTGCAAAAGTGTAGTATGTGTCAAGGTACAAGAATAATTACGCGTAATATGAAGACAATTGAAAAAGTTATGTTTGACAAAGAAGTTCAAACGGAAAAGGAAACTTGCGACAAGTCTCTCCAAGTACAAGAAAGCTTCATTTTTTCCGATTTCTTAGACACAGACACTAAATTAAATACTGTCTCAGGTGTAACATCCTTCGATAATTTCGCCTATTTAAAATCTTCAATAGAAAAAGTGAAGAAAACAAATCAAATGGGAAAAGCGACTTCCAAATTGAATTTAAAAGACCAAATTATTTTAACTTTAGCAAAGTTGAAGTTAAATTTAAGTTTCGCTTGTTTAGCCATTCTTTTTAGGGTATCTCGCCAAACATGCAGAAATGAATTCTATACCATGCTTGGATTACTAAGTGCGTGTTTGTCGCCTCTTATTCGATGGCCTCCAAAAGATGAAATTTTAGAAAATATGCCAAAATGCTTCAAATTTTTTCCATCGACACGAGTTATTTTTGACGGAACCGAAATACCCATTCAAAAAAGAAAATGTTTAAAATGTAGAATCGCGACTTATTCACAGTATAAAAGTGGACATACTGTTAAATTTATTGTAGGAATAACTCCATCAGGTCTAATATCTTTCGTCAGTGATTCATATGCAGGACGTGCCTCCGATAAACAAATAATTGTTGAATCTGGTATTCTTGATAAATTGATTCCTGATGAAGATAGTGTAATGTGCGATAAAGGTGTGTTAATCCAAAATGAGTGTAAAAAGCGTAAAATTAAATTAATTATGCCCTGCTCTAAGAGTAAAATTGTTGTACAATTCTCACCACAGGAAGCGAATTTAAATCAAAAAATTGCTTCAGCGAGAGTACATGTAGAAAGATCGATTCAACGTTTAAAAATTTTCAAAATTTTGAAAGGTCCCTTAAGTTGGGATGTAGTTTCTTGGAGTCCTGAAATAATGCGTGTTATCTGTGGACTTGTAAACCTTTCACCTCCGATATTAAAAGAAGACAAGTTTTAATAGGAAAAAAGTTTTTTCGTTTTTTTTTTATCTTAAATTTCATTTTTATTGTTAAGTGTATTCTGCATATTAAAAACATTTCTAAAAAATAAAAAGTATAAAACTTTAAAATTTGAGAAATTTTTAAAAACTTATATTGCATTAAACCCTCGGTAAATTTAATTTTTTACTGGTTTCTCTCACTCGAGCCATATGTATTGCTGCCTCACATAGTGGTACTCCTATAAGCAGCAACATATAAAAAATAAAATAACCAAAATTGCACTTTTATTAAAAAATTTAATGTTATTTTTTCAAAAAAAAATTAAAATGTTAAAGTTTTTGAAAATGTTGATACATTGAGTTTTGAAAATTTTTAAATACATAAATAACATTGAATATATATCTTGGAAGAATTGATATACTTTCCAAGTTATTAAGGACGTTTATTCTAGAAAAGCAGATTTTTAGAAAAAAATTTACAATTGTTATTTAAAAAGTAGAAATATTATTATTATTTTCTGAAAGAATAAATGTCAATTTTCTAGAAAAAAATTTAATTATTTAAACATTATTCAAGTAATCAAAACATTTTCATATCGCTTTTTGCCGATTTTTTAAAAATGATTCGATTTGAATCAATGATGGTTTATTTTCTCTATAGAAAATAATAGTAATTTGTTTCAAAAATATTTCACTCTTTTTGAACAAATGACTATATTTTCAAAACGGTAAATTTGTAAAGAATCATTTTCTGAAAAATAAGCAATCATTGATTCAAATCGAATCATTTTTAAAAAATCGGCAAAAAGCGATATGAAAAATGTTTTGATTACTTGAATAATGTGTAAATAATTAATATTTTTCTAGAAAATTGACCTTTATTCTTAAAAAAATTAATAATATTTTTACTTTTTAAAAACAATTTTAATTTTTTTCTGAAGGTCTGCATTTCGGGTATAAACGTCCTTAACATTTTTTTTAAGTTAAGTAGTTTTAAGTTACTTAAGTTTATTTTCTAACTATAACTCAAAGTTTCTTTCATATGTAACATTAAATTTTTTGTAAAACTCTAGATATTTATATAAAAAACGTGAAGCTTTCGTTTGTAATAATAAAAAAAGTAGATACATTCACCGTCTCAAAATGAATGTGACTGAAAACAACTTTGTAAAAAATAAAATATACTTATAATGAATAGTTAGAATTTCGAGTATTATTAAACTTCACCTTTTCTTATGCAAAGTCTAATTTATTAATTTTATACCCGAAAGTAGCGATTGTAGAATATCGTCTTCCAGATCTTGTGTCATTTTTACGATTGTCTGCTTTTTTTGATAGTGACATAAATTATTTATGGATACACCCGTAACAAAATTTGCCTTCTTTTTCCATTTACCCCAATTTTGTTGTAAATCGGTACAACTTAAATTCGGCAAGTTCTCTAGCCCTATACTGGAACATATATATGTATATATAAATAAAATTTGGCATGAAAAAATGAAAAAAAGCAATATAAAATACATATATCAAAAGACACTTTGAAAATTCTTCTTCATATGTATATGAAAAAATTCCACAATTTACATCTAACAATTACACTCATTAAAAGAATTAGAATTGTTGAAAAATTTTATTTATTTTGTAAAATTTTCAAAGTTACTGTCTTTTTGGCAAATCATTTTAATAAATTTTTCTTCCCAACTGACCGATTTATATACATCAAAGTTCCAAATACGTGCTTGCATTTACCATTTGCTCCAGCTATACAAGAGCAATAAGGTATCATACTTTTTTTTTTAATTGTGATTACCACTTTGTAACAAGTTGTTTTATCTCGACAAGAAGACATACAAAGAGAAACAATTTTCATTTTGTCACTTACACGACTTTCAAAGCCACATTGAATAATACGTTTGTTTATTAATATTTGTTCTCCTTCTTTCAATGGGCGTTTTAAACCTCCTGCAAATTTAAAAATGTTTGCAAGACTAATATTTTTAATCATTATACATATACTACTCAAAAAATAATTTGTAAACATCTGACTGTAACGCAGAAATGTAAATATTTAGACGTCATAGCTCGTGTATGTATACATATATATGTATGTTTGTACTGATCGTGAACAACGCGCTATAATTTAAAAAGGATAAGCTTTTTTTGAAAGATTTCTTTTCTATAGGATAAATTAAAAACTACATTGTACAATTCTACAATATTTAGGGTGACATAACAATTAGTGAATTAATTATTTAAATAATTAATCTTTTTCCCATACATTATTTGAATTTTTTCCACTAACTCTAGTTCTCCCGCCATTCACCAGGGCGGCGACTCCATCATTTTGCTTCGCCAATACATCGTGTAGAAAACTTGGCACGTAATATACGTAGTATTATACACGTAGAAAACCACGTATTATACGTCATGTATTATACGTACCCATCACTGCCAATAGGTTGGTTTCTATTGCCCCTAATCGCCATTTGTCATAATTCTCGTCAACTACCTCACTCTGTTCTAGTAAAAATTTAGTGACTTTATTGTTGAAATTAAAAGTTACTATAAAGTTACTAAATTTTTACTAGAGCAGAGTGCGGTAGTTGACGAGAATTATGACAAATGGCGAGTGTGGGGCCAATGGAAACCAACCAAAATGGTTATGACGTAATGAATGTATTTTTTTGAAACAATCAAAAAATTACCTTACTATTACGTCATAACCATTTTCTTTCCACATGTAAACGTAGAAGAGAAATATTCTATTTTGCACAATGCAAAATGTAAAACACAAGCTGCAAAATTTCCTTTTGTAATATTTGCCGTAAGAGACTCCATTTTCATTGGTTAAGGCGCTTGTATACCTCACCGATCCCGAGTATACTTCTGTCGTGTACCATTGGAGTAAAAGAGACAAAAGATATTTCTGTCTCTTTTACTCCAATGGTACACGACAGAAGTATACTCGGGATCGGTGAGGTATACATGCGCTTTTAAAATCTATTCTGCTAATCTGCTCACTATGACAGAGCCCTAAAGCCGTCATCCGGCATGCGTCCATCTTGAATTTTCCCCCACTTGTTCAGGTGTGAAGTTGAATAGAAGCACTTATGAAGTATGTTACGTACTCATCCCTGGTGCTTATCCGGCACCTGTCAAATCAAAGAAAAATGAAAACATTGTTTGATATTAACGTACAGTTTTGACACTCGGCTATGTCAAAAGTCATTTAAGAAGAATATTAATGTTAAAATGAGCGCAATGTACTTGTCTGGAAGAAAGTACAAAGTGATTAGTAGTTGGGGAATTTTTGCATTAATTATACATTTAATTCTTTTATGGGGTGTCTTGGATATCAATTTTCATTCTCCAATAATACAAAATTTGTCAAGAATATCAGTTACCGAAAATGGACCAGCGAAAAGAATTTTAATTTTTGTAGCTGACGGTCTACGGTTTCGTACATTTTGGGATAATCGTCCACCTTATTTAAGGTAAGATTTATTACTATTAATAAAATGTGATTGAGTATAGCATAACCACGTTTGAAATACGTAAACATTAACACGACCAAAACTCCGAAAAGCCACGTGACCAAAAATTTGCTACAATTTGTGCCATGATCCGCGCAGGTTCGCACGACCAATCAACGCTTGGAACAAACGACGTCTGGCTTTAAAGTTTGCGCGCTATAGTACACATTGAATTCTAAGTACATAAAAAGTACATTTCAGATATGAATTTTTTTGAGTTCAGAAGCTTCTGGAGATATTTTCAGGCTTGGAAGTGACATAGTTTTTTACTTTTTTGGTCAAGGCTACTTTTTTAATACTAATTTTGGCAAAAAGTTACTAAATGCTACTTTTTTCCAAAAAAGGGTAAAAAAATTGACAGAATTAAAGAATTTAATTTTTTTGCTTCTTCGTGGAAGAAGCTTTGTAGTCTTTTCGTTTATAAAATTTTTAAAAATGGTAAAAACAAATTTTCCTCTATATAGAAACATGTTACATGAGATCCTGATCAATTGTCCGGATGTATGTATGTGTGTATGCCCGCACAGCACCGAAACTTTCCTAAAGATTTATTTGAAATGTTCGGAATATTTAATTGTAAAGTTTAGTGAAAATTGTGTTAAAATGTCCTGATTAAATAAATGTTCAGGAAAGTTTCGCGCTAAACATTTATTTAAGTTGGACATTTAAATCTTTACACAATTTTCACTGAACATTGCAATTAAATATTCCGTACATTTCAAATAAATCTTTAGGAAACTTGGGGTGTATATGTCTTTTTTGTGAACACGATATCTTTAACAGGTTTTAATGGATTTTGATAAAATTTGGTAGGCTTATTTATTATATTAATCTCTGAAAAATTACCAGAGGATTTTTAAAAATACCCCCAAAAAAAAATTTTATCGTCTTTTTTACAAAATTTTTTTTTAATTGAAAAAATTTTTAAATAGAAAAATTTAAGGTTATATATAATAAAATCGTCTTCTTTACGTCAAGACGAATCGATTGGTATATATAAAGTATAGATTTGATTTAAATTTAAAGAATTAATGAAAATTAAAAAAACCAAAAATTCCTATTTTAGCTAACAAATTTTGTGTTTATTTAAATTCAAGTTAATACATAAAATAATTGTATTCCTTGCATTGTAACGAATCGATTCGTATATATAAAGTATATGTTACACCAAAAATTAATTAAAATTTTCTTAATTTTTCAAAACATTTAATTAATTTAAAACAGTTTCCAACTTGAGGTGTATCAAGTTAGAAAAACAACTTTCGTAAAATCAAAAATCTCATATTGGAGAATTTGCCGCTAATTATTCGTGAAATTCCCAATTTTGCTGTTTATGATTTTTTAAAAAAACAGGTTGCACTGCTAACTTGATATCAAGTTAGCAGTGCAACCACTGTAAATGAAAGGATAAAAAAAATCTGACCACACATGATTTTACCGTAAATTTGCCGTAATCAAATCCCACAATTAGTTTCTCAAAATATTTAAAAATGACACTAAACTTCACAATATTCTATCAGAATTTTCTAAAATTTATATTCTTTCATCTTCACAATCATTTTAATATAATTAGTAAGTCGAAAACGACTTCTTTAAACGAAGCTGAAGAACGCAACGTTTATATAAACGATTTTTAAAGAAATAATTTTTTAAAATAAAAAATTCTATAATTTTTTGCCTAAAAAATATTTTTTTATAATTTGATGATTAATGAAAACTACAAGAAATATTGTTTAGGCAAAAAGTTATAGAGTTTTTCATTTTAAAAAATTATTTCTTTAAAAATCGTTTATATAAACATTGCGTACATCAGCTTCGTTTATTTAACAATAAATCTATATACTTAACTAGGGATGGAAAGGGGAAACGAAAAGTCGACTTTCGACTTTACAATCGACTTTAAGTCTTTCGACTTTTTAAAGTCGACCGAAGTCGACTTTGTAAACAAAGTCGACTTTTTATCGACTTTTTTTGAAATCATATTTTTTTTAAGAATATTCATTTATAACTTATAAATAATTATCTCTGAATCATTTTTTTAAGAAAAATCTAATTTGATGAATTTAAATTTAATTACAATAAGTAATACTTAACTATGAAAGGAAAAATCCAGAATAAACATTTTTAATGTAATTGATTATATTTCTACATTAATGGTAAAAACATTCTATTTTAAAATATTAAAATAATTCTTTATCATCTAATTATAATTATAATTCAATCGAAATTATTGTTATTAAATATTATTTAAATATTCTTATTAAAACACATTTCCTTTTTACATTCTGTACACTGCACTTTACTGCCATCACCAATTTTTGAAAAATAAATCCAAACAGCACTAGGACCCATGTGCTTAATATTTAATTAAAAATAATGTCGTGCAACACAATGTACGAAAAATAATATATAACGTCCCGAAAACCGTTAGTCCACAGTGTCGTCATGCGTCCCAAGAAGCACGTAATATAACCTCAATATCAAGGTAATATTACATGTAAGATTCGTAATATAACGTTGTAATATTACAGTAATCTTACAGTGATCTTAAAATGTCCGCCTCAAGGTAATATTACCGGTAATGTTACTGTAATATTAGGCGCTAATATTAAGGTAATATTACAGTAATATTTCAGTAATATTATACCGGTATAATATTACGGCCGTAATATTAAGGTAATATTACAAGAGAATATTACAGTAATATTATAGGGAACATTTCTTTACGAAAAAAATCTACCCATCCAGGGAATCGAACCCCGAACTCAAAGCACACGAGTCCAGAGTTTTACCAACAAGCCAAATTGACTTATAATATATTTACGTTTTTTATGCTTATGAATAACTCAAATCAGTCTGTAATATTACTGTAATATTACCGTTAATATTACAGTAATATTCCCGGTAATATTACCTTGAGGCGGACATTTTAAGATCACTGTAATATTACAGCGTTATATTACGAATCTCACGTGTAATATTACCTTGATATTGAGGATATATTACGTGCTTCTTGGGGTGTTTATCACGTGTCAGTTGTTTTTTATGTTGACAGAAAGTCGAGAAGTCGACCGACGAAGATCGAATTTCATCGACTTCGACCGAATCAAAGTCGACCGCGAAAAGTCGACTTTTCAGTATCGAAAGTCGACTTTCGACTAAAGTCGAAGTCGACTTTTCCATCCCTATACTCAACTATCAGATTAACGACCAAATTCCTGATAAAAAACCGACCAATCGAATCTTATTTCTGACAAAGATTTTAGACTCTACTGTTACATGTATACGTTTTTAATTCTTACAAAAATCAAATATTTTATTTGGCGTAGTTTTTCTTTACAAATAATTAAATTAGCTGAAACGGTAAATATCTATGGCACAGAAAAATTGTCAAAATTATTTCTGACCTATATTTTTCCACTGTTCTACTATCTTTTTAAATATTTATAAGTCAAATTATTTATTTGACGTACTTATTCTTCACGAATAATTAAATTAGCTGCTACGGCAAAATTCCAATGCATAGAAAAAGTGTCATAATTATTTCTGACCCAGATTATCGACTGTTTTGTTAACTTTTTATCATATTAAGGCCAGGTCCAAGTGAGGCAGCGCCATCTACATTGATACTAAAATTTTGGAAAATTTTTAACAGCCTTTTCTTGAAAACAAGATGGTAAAATGCTTTTTCCTTTATGGATAATTGATTATTGACAAGATATACACCAGCTAAAACTTTTTTTTAGTTAAAATAATAAAAAAAATTTCATGTCAATAAATTAAATATGAGCACTTTTTTCACAAAAACTGTAACAGTACTTTCTCAGAAATTACAATCAAAAATGCAATTTCCATTTGGAAAATTAATAAACGCTAAAAAATACACGACCTAAGATTTACCAATCACGAAAATAACAAAAAAAATTTTATTAAATATTTAACATATTGATACTGCTTTACTGATTGTGACAGCCGTTTGGTAGATTATGTATTTCAGGTGATAGCAACAGTGCCAATCTCCTCCTTTCGGCAAAACCGCGAAACGTCTGGTGACATATATGACCTGCCAAACGGCTGTCATAATGAGTAAAATATGTTATGTTAAAATACTTTTTTTTGTTATTTTCGTGATTGGTAAATCTTAGGTCGTGTATTTTTTAGCGTTTATTAATTTTCCAAATGGAAATTCCATTTTTGATTGTAATTTCTGAGAAAGTACTGTTACAGTTTTTGTGAAAAAAGTGCTGATATTTAATTTATTGACATGAAATTTTTTTTATTATTTTAACTCAAAAAAAGTTTTAGCTGGTGTATATCTTGCCAATAATCAATTATCCATAAAGGAAAAATCATTTTACCTTCTTGTTTTCAAGAAAAGGCTGTTGAAAATTTTCCAAAATTTTAAATTCAATATAGATGGCGCTGCCTCATTTGGACCTGGCCTTAATTATAAAACAAATTGAAGTATGAATTGCTATCTCATGAGAAATGTACTATTTGTATTCATTCAATGAAGACTTGGCTTCCTCATGGAGATTTTTCGTGATAAATTTAGGATAATTATAATATAATTAAAAGGTTCACAAATAGGTCAGTCGAATTGTTTTTCAATATTTTCTAAGTTGGTTATGATTATTTTTAAGTTACCAAAAGATTTTTAAGCAAATAATGCAAAAATGTCAATGTTTCAAAATTTTCAAATAATAATAACTCTGAATAGAATAACAGGGAAATGTTTGCTAATAGGTCAAAAGATGCGTCTTGAAAAACTCTACAAAACTAGGGATAAACATGCATTGGTGTCAATAAATTTATTCCCAAGCAGCACGTAATATAACCTCAATATCAAGGTAATATTACATGTAAGATTCGTAATATAACGTTGTAATATTACAGTAATCTTACAGTGATCTTAAAATGTCCGCCTCAAGGTAATATTACCGGTAATGTTACTGTAATAT